CCACTAGTGGTCCAGAGATGCCTGACTGAGTTGCCAGTGTTCCTAAAGATAGCATATTCCAAAGCTTACCGGTAATATATACAGAAAAATCATAATTAACTGATATTATTATGACATGACTTTAAATCCCAGCACAAAGTTAAACAAGGAATTTATTTTATAAACCTTCAAATTTATTTTTTGTTAACTATTTTATGAAAAAAAAAAATAAATAAAAAATAAATATTTTGTTCTGCAAAATAATCATTGACTTAATCAATGCCAACCCTGCTGTACTGTAATGAGAAGAGAGTTATGGTAAGCACTAGATACAGTACTCTAGTTCAATACATACTGAACTAAGTTACTGGTATCCCTTACTGCCTACTTTAGTAGATTAACAATTTCAGAGAATACTGTACATACTCTATTACACAGCCTAAAAGCTCTATCCTTCAAATGAAACTTTACATGACATACCACAGCACAGAAGCAAACAATCAGGTTCAGAGAACTCGCAAGTTTTGCTCTCTGAAAGTTTTTCACTGAATATGTAGTTTTATCTTTAACAATTATCCTCCTCCTTGTGAGGGAAAAATAAATCTGAAGGTATTAAATATTTTTTTTAAGATTAATTTAAGGAGCTGTTAAGTATTTACGGCTTGTGGCTCTTCAATTCCACAAGACTTCCTGTTGCTATTGACAGCAAGAGGCTAAATCACTTCTAACTTTGTCCCTACTGAGGAAACTGCCTCCTCAGAGGTACAATACGGTATTTTAAAGTACTGTGGTAGATAGAAAAGATGCTTCAATTCCATCAGAGATAACCAGTCCCAACAAGGGACTCGTGAGAAGAAAAATCCCTCGCAACATAAATGTACCAGGTAATCATTCTTGTAAAATACTGGTTAGCCTACATAACTACTCTTTGGTTAGGAGACAATTGGGCTCTTGTCATTATATACAAGCTGGGATTTCTATTTAGAATTTCAACTTTGTTCTGAATTAGTATTATGGACAAAATATAAAAATCTTTGTGCCTCTTTGTTAAAGTAGAGAGTTTTACTGAGAATATACTGGCCCTAAAACCCTATTTTCTAATTGACCCACAATAGGATGGCTCTGTAAATTCAACAAACTTTCAAGCTGAAACACTAAGCTTCCAGGAACCCGAGTTTGAAATTGGAATTTAAAAGCGAAATAAATTAACTAAAACATCATTCAAGTGGATCCCAACCCTGCCCACAAACTATTAGTACTGTGACTGGGGAAATAGTACTGTATCAAACTAATGATGTTACTGTACATTAATTAAATGTAATCAGTGCTGGAGACAGTCTCATGTCACTTCTTTAATGCCTAGAAAACCCAATGAGTTATCACTGCATGGACTGTTACCACTGCAACACTTAAGCAATTTTGGTGCAATCTGTGTCAAAAATTTATCATATGAATCTATTATCATGATGATTAAACCTACATGTTCAATGCAAATCCACAAATTAATTCTTTAATTATTTTGGGGACAGACAGACTGAGAGTCAAATGGGTTTAGTTACATTACAGCAGCTTCTCCAGGGTCAGGAGACATTTGCCAGAAGAAAAGTTTATAAATACTTATTGTTTGGCTGAATAAATAGCACAATATTGCACATTTCCTTGAATTTTATTTTCCTTTAATAATTTTTATTGGTTAAATATCATTATTGTTTTTACATAGCTTTTGAAATTAATATTGGTTTACTTGCTCTGACATATGATTATACTGGTCACACGAGTTTCACATATTTAGAATAAAGTCACTTTAAGCAAGGGCCACCTGTACTTTTCATATCATGCATTAGAGAATTACCGTCAAGATGCAAGCTTAATAATGTACTGTTTACCAGAACAATGGACTTACAGGCTTAGACTACAGAATAATGAGATTCAACTTCCAGGTTTGGAAACGAGTATCCTCAGGCTTACAATTTGAAAAGTGTTGATTTGTTAGGAATATCAAGCCTGGTCAATGATGTACCTATGAGAGAGATGCATGTAAAGTGATGAAACCATCACTCCTCCCCATAAAAACTTATTACGTATAGTAAGTATCTCACGAGTCTTTTCTCCAAGGTGAGAGCCAGAAGGAAAGTGAATGTCATGGAGGCTAGCTCCAAACTTTCCATTGAAAATTCAGTTTAAATAAAGGGGATGATGGATTGGTTCTGGAGACCATGTGCCACTTCAATACAGTAGTTTTCAAATATACAGTACTATTTAAAAATAGTACACAAGAGGTGATATATATGCTTGTGACTGCTCATTTTGCATTTTGCATCTCTTGTTATTTCACAACTTGATAAGCAAAGTTATGATCTAAATGAGGTTTTTGTGGGAGAGAGAGATAGCATAATTGGAATCCCTTACCTCAATCATGATAGGGGCCCTATATAAGAATTCTCCTAGGGTCCCCAGAATACTAGAGCTGGCCCTGACAGTAAAAGTACAGTACAGGTACTGGACTACAACAGTGAGTTGGATGATGACCAGAGGAAATGCTTGACCAAATCATGTCCTAAAGTAAATAGTTGTTTGTAATAAATTGAATTTTATTTAGATGAGCACCTACTGTATTTCAGTACAGTACTGTATTATACTGCACTGTAATTGACTATGGTTTCACATTATTTCTGGAACTAAATATCTTTTAAAATAAAAAAAATAATATTAAGTATAGCTACAGAGCTTTCTATGAACCAGATAAATGATTATACAGTACCAGACTGGATTTTTGGGGGGTTAATATATAGGACTAACCTGCGGACAAATTAATTGTATTACCGTTTATTTTTTTACATTATTTTCATCAGTGAGTTCTGATATAATAATAATTTATTGTGGAACCCGCCAACACAGTAAATCACTCCGCAGCTCGAGATGCATAGCGTCGACACAGCCGTATCATCTCGCGTCCAGAAATTGCCCGAAATTTCACCATATCATAATAAGTTCTTTCTGTTTAATATACCGGGGGGTCTGGCGTTAAGGAAGTTAAGTAAGGTTTGATAGATTTATTTGGTTAGGTTAGACCTGTTTTTCATACCCACAAATGTTAAGTAACGTTTATTTTTAAAATATCCATTTTTTAACATATTTCCACAAACTAAAACAGTGTCCACTATAATATAACAGAGAAAATCAGGCATTTTAATAATTGTTTTCAATCAATTTCACTCGAGGGTTAGTCCTATATAATTACCTTTTTTTTTACTTGTTTAAGGGCTAGTAAATCATAAATTCTACTAACCCTACTGGCAACTTGGCAAAATTGGCGAATTTGTATCCCTGTTCTTACCAGCATGAAGGTAAAGGATATTCTAGTTTCCATGTTTATTCACTTTTTAGATACAAGTCTCAAGTGAAGGTCATTGGATTATGACCAGTTCATTTGCTGGCTCTATGGAGTTGCTCAATCCAGGATATAATCTTATAAAATAAACCATTTCATATACCAAAATGAATCACCATAACCTACACTACTGCCCTAACTTTCATCTCCAAATATTTAAATTTAACAACCTGAATGTTAGTTTTTACAAGAAGGGCAGCAAGAGTTGTTGACCCTGGTGTGGTAACCTCCAATTATAAAACATTGATTTTCCGAATTTAATTTTTGGTGAAAACTATACATAATGTACTTAGTACTTTCAAAAACTAATAAAATGAACCAACCAAACTTAAATCTCTATGATTATATTTTTGTTTGGAAATGTTAGATAAGGTGTACAGTAGTTGATTTGCTTTGCCCGTTTTAAAAGTGCATGATCACGCAACCACAATTACAAAGTAGTATAATGCTGCACAAGACAATTAAAATCCTAGGTGTCATAGAAAGAACACTTAAAATTAATGTAGTAGATATAGGTACGGCAGCCGTATTGACGGACTACTGTTAATGGTTAGGTTTGGTTAAGTTAGGTTAGTCAGAAAGGTATCTTAGTAATTATCATTGTACAGTCTGTCCACCACACATGAGTACTGTATAAGAATGCTGTACCGATAGACATCAACCGTCGTATCTGTATCCTGTGCCTAAAATTAAGTCTTATTGAGCATGCTTTATAATTGCTGCAACATCATACTGACCAATATATTCCTTCATTTAGAATACGGTAATCCTTTTCAAATTGTTTATCTGATATTTCCATTACTTTCAATTCAATAATATGAAATAAATTGTCTGATTTTAGCAAGAACAAGCCACTGAGTATCTGTACTGTATTTGCCAAATTTGCAATTACCCATAAGTACACAATGATATCACATGTAGTTCATTGGTTTTTATCAATTCACTTAAGTTCAGTAAATGGAAAGAGCAAATCAATTCTTGAAATGGAGAGGAGAGTAGCTATTAGGTATAATTTACTATTGGTATATGGTAATCAATATGCTTACCCAGCTAAATTTATATTTTAACATGTAATCACACCATTATGATCACCTGTGCCTAATATGCGTAATTAAATAATTGTGATTAAATGTCATACATCCTTGATACAAAATATCTTAAATTTTACTTTCTACAAACCACAGTACTAGAGCACCAAAAGAAAAATACCAAACAAAAAGAGACAAACATCATGCAGCTGCAGAACAGAACTAACCTAGACAGAAGTGAAGTGAAATGACGAGGGCAGAACAAAATTACGCTGGCACTACCCTCGAGACACCCACGTCAACCTTGTGTCAAAAACACCCACTTTTTTCCACAAAGAAATCAAAATGACCACTATCCAATCAGAGAATTTCAGAGCAAATCCCCAAGTGTAAGGCGGTGGAGCTCAAACGTGAGTGTGTTGTACGGGAGGTAAGGGTAATAGGATATACAGAGTGAGTGACATCTGCCTTGTGTGACGACAGGCCCAATAGAGTCAAGGCCGGCCATTTATGTTTGTCCTCACGCTCATATAACCTTAACCTATATGCAATAATTAGCCCTCTTTTCTACTTCACCGATTATTCTTGTATTAAATACTTACCTTTATATATTTGTTTGGCCTGAAACTAAACTTAATTAATGTAAAATAATAGATTTGTTTTTATCTATCACTCCTAGCAATCCTGTGGAGTTGTCTCACTGAGGTCTCAGAATCTATTGTTCCAATAATAATTTACACGCTTTTTCAGTAAAACTAAAAGATCTATGAAATACTAAAAATATACTCTTTATATCTTTTATTATAACTCGTGTAGTATCATTATTTTATATTGATAGATAGCAAATATTTACTTAATAATAAGGCTTTACCAATCAACCATACAATTTTAAAACAACTTACCATTACTCTGACTCTGAACCTCTGTTGAAGGTATCAATATTGTGTTCCAGCAAAGTCTTTGAGCTATTCCAACCTTTATATATGTCCTTTTATATGCTTTTATTTTTAATTGAAATCTTTATTATTATTTTCTTTATAATGCTTTCCCTTGTGCAGACGACGAAACACCTTAAGCGGGAATTTTAAAATCGTGTTTAAATACGAATAGTAGTCTGATAATTTGCGTCATAAGTTGGCGACAACCTTAGGTGCACATTCTATAATCTACAGAGCGAATTGATATTCGATTACGTAAGTATTATTAGGTCCGTTCCAAGTAGCTTCCTTTGCACTGCTTCCATCTTCTATCACTAAACAGTATCATTATTCATCACATTGCCTACTTACCTTTTCATTACTTTTTTTACTTTTATCCTCTTCGCCACTGATCGGCTTGTTAGCCGCTTGGGCGATCGGTCACGACTCGTTTCCTTTATATTCTTCACCAAAAGGTCGGCTCGCTAGCCGCCCGGGCGATCGGTCACGTCTCTGTCACGCACTGTTGGCAAATACTGGGCATGCACCGGCTCCTGAATGTACCTGAACCCGCTCCAGTGTTGGTCAAGTCTTCTCTTGAAAGAGCTCACACTCGGTGCCGTCACAACACTTTCTGGTAGATTGTTCCAAGAGTTTACAACCCTCACTCCGAAAAAGTTTGCCCTCACGGTTTTCCGGACTTGCGGCTTCTTCAATCTTGAGCTGTGACCCCTTGTGGGGCGAGCGTCCGCCAGCTCCAAGTAAGGACACTCAACTGAGTAGTGCCTCCTGAGATGCTTATAAACCTCAACTAGGTCCCCCCTTGCCCGTCTGTAGTATAAGCTAGGCAAGTTCAGGCGCTCCAATCTCGCAGGGTAGCTGAGATGCCGAAGTGCAGGCACCAGCTTGGTGGCCCTCCTTTGAACATTTTCAACCAACTGACAGTCCCTAGCATATCTCGGGGACCAGATGGGGTGACAGTACTCCAGATGGGGAAGCACTTCACTCCTGAAGATCGTCACGAGGGACGGACCGTCTAGATATCTGAACGACCTTCTTATAAGACCCAATAATTTATTTGCCTGATTTACCTTCTTCTCACAATGGCCCGAGAACTTCAGCTCATTGTCAACATACACACCTAGGTCCTTCTCACACACAGTCTCAACTAGTACATTTTCTTCATCCCGTTGGGACATATGGTACGCCTCCTTACCGTTGGTACGCCCCAGGTGCATCCTCTTACACTTCGTGACATTGAATCTCAGCAGCCATTCCTTCGACCATTCCTGGAGCCCACAGAGGTCCTTCTGCAGCTCTTCACAGTCCGCTTGGTCATAACTTGGCGTCATCGGCAAACATTTGTATGGAGGAGTGTACAACGTCAGGCATATCATTTATGAAACAAACAAACAACAGCGGGCCCAATACACTACCCTGCGGTACCCCACTTGTTACAGGTACAGATGACGATTTCGTGCCATTAATCACCACACATTGCTTGCGGTCATGTAGAAAGTCTTCTATCCACGCTAGGACATTTCCCCGAATTCCGTACCCTTCACGATATATATTTAACCACTTTCATTAATTTTAAAATCCATTGTTGTAGCTACAACTGACTAGTTTTGTTTGTTTTTTCAATGAAATACGATGTATATATGGAAGTTATAAATGGCTTTACTTACACCGCCGCTAGTCACAAACAGTACAGTCGGTGTTCATAACGTTGGTGAGAGTGACATTAGCGACATTGTGGCCGGCTAAGTCTCTGATTGTCTTTTATGAATTTGTCTGAATCTTGGACAGTTTGTAAGCATCGAGGTACCTGTTCTGACCATTTCTATGGTATTTCATGTGCGGTGGAAGCGGATGGGCACCTTTCATCCCTCCCTGTCAGATTGGATCCACAAGGCGAGTCATGGCAATCTATTGTTTGACCATGATTTTAATCTTTAGAAATTGTTTGATTTTGAAAATTCTTTCTTTTCTAAGGAATATATATATATATATATATATATATATATATATATATATATATATATATATATATATATATAGTACACGAAAACCGTGTTTTTCGAGAACATTTTTGCCGAGACATGCACATGGAAGTGGTTGTACTCCAAATGTTATTCCCCAAAAAATGGATATCAAACACGGGCGTCATGATTTTAATCTGTTGGAATTGTTTAATTTTGAAAATTGTTTCTTTTCTAAGGAAAATTGTGAAATTGTACTGTAGGTGTCTAGAAGAGAAATATCACTCGGAGATTATGTATTCTTCGTTGTTTGTGAGGACTAAGATGGCAAAACTCCAAGGATATATATATATATATATATATATATATATATATATATATATATATATATATATATATATATATATATATATATATGCTAACATGCTTCTGAAATGCTCAATATACATCTTAAAAATACTATACATGAAAACCGGGTTTTTCGATAATGTTTTTGACGAGGCATGGATACGGAAGTGGTGGTACTCCAATTGTTATTCCCAAAAAGTAAAGTATATCAAACACGGGACGACTCCCCCTCCCCCTTCCATTTTTAATGCAATGTAATGCATGGTTATTCAGGTATGTGTCCTGGGCGAGTCTTCCTCCATGTTGTAGTGGATTATTTTCTTTAGGTTTGCATGATATTCGAATAGCCAAACATTATAATGTCACAGATTCTTGTTATAATAGGATGAATTATTATATGAATGAAATTGGCGTATTTCACTGATTAGCCCAATGAAAAAACAGCATTTTGCCAGCCTATTAAAATGTTGTGTCCCCTCCCCAGGGATAATTATTTTGGTGACGCAGCTGATACCAAGGCGCTTGAGCTGAGCACCACAATGACGGATCCAGAGGAGGGTCGTCTCTTTTGGCCTCGCGATAATTATTCACCATACCCGAAAGTCTTTTCAAAGGTACCTCTTGCCCCTCTCTCCTTCATCAGATAGTCCCACGGTGCCTCTTGTCAAGAGGGACTTGTCAGTCCCACCACCCCCCAATCAGGGGCGGAACCAGGAATATCAAAAGGGGGTGGGGTCCAAGAAGTTGTGGGTGGGGGAACATGGCGAGCGCAGCGAGCCCACTCAACTTGGGATTTTTTTTAAAGGGGGGGGGGGTCGCTGTAAGCCCCCCGTTTTTTTTTAATTATGATAGATATCTGCGCATTTTGAGGCCATTTTGAAGCCATGCACACTTGATATTAGGAGATATTCTGAAGTCAATAGTACATACTTTTTACTTTACAAAAATGGCTGAGTACAATACTGCATTAAAGAAAAAGTATTGGAATTTTCTGGTGAAAAGGGGGGTCCGGACCCCCAGGACTCCCCCTGGATCCGCCCTTGCCAATGCCTTGTCATACCCACCATTACTCACTGCCTTGCCTTGTTCACCTACCTTTAACCAGTCATACTCACCACCCCAAACTGTCTTACTAACCATAACTCGCTAACTCATTGCCCTACCCATCACCTACACCACCACTCACTGCTCTGCCGAAGCCTTCAACAACCTTCTCTAACAACCCTCACTCTGTGACTGTAACACCTTGTCCACCTACCCACCAGTCACCACCCTTCACCACCTCCTTGGCCTGCTCGTCTAAACTAGCACTAAGGCAATATCGTTCAACATTTAGTAGTGAAACACTGATACGGTCGGAAACGGCCACACACAAGGGGAAATGAGTGGGTTGGAAAGTCAAAATCTGTTTTTATCATCACTGTGAACTGGAATATGTTTTTGATGAGATTCGAATCTTGCCTAGAAATTGGAATTATTGGGTATATATAAATACATATTTGGGTCTAGACCCAAAGTTCATGTTATTTTACAATACTGAAATTATCTGACTGTCATTCATTATCCAAACTGTATTGCTGAAAATGTTTCTGAATTTGGACCTAATTCTAATTCAGAGTTGAGGGGAGAACACGCCCAGCTACTGACTGGCGTAGGAGCCGTGGGAAATAGGTAAATGTAAACATTGGCGACTGGTTATTATAAGCATCATAGATCGTATTGTGAATATTTCTCGTGACGTACGGTACGTATAGAAAAGGCATCGGGCGTAATTGTTAGTGCCAACAGTGCCACATAGACCTGACACATCCAGACCTGACATTTTACCTAAACCCGGCTTAGGTAATGATTCGGTATAGTTATTAACCACTGAAATTTTACAAGTTGCCCATAATCTAACAAATGAATATGAATTTCTGGAAAACCAATCAGTTGCGACGGAAACTTTACTAAGAAAAGTTGTTAGAAATGACGAAATATACCTACTGTACTTAGAACTGGACCCAGTTTTTAATTTCATTCAATCATCCCCATCTTTGCCTTCCCCCTGGTCCTCCTATCCTCAACTTTGGCAGTTAATATTTGTTATTATCCCCTCATCCTTAATTATATGACGAAAGTATCTATTTTTTTTCTTTTTCTGTATATTTCAAGAAGTACTGTATTTCTCGTGAAGGTTTTGCTAATCTTACTACTTCTTCATTTGTTTTCATGTCAGTATAACTTATTCCTAGCATTTGCCTATAGCACCACATTTCAAAGGCCTCCAACTTTCTGGTGTCTGCTGAAAGTGTCCATACACTTGCAATATAAAGCCTTTCAGCAGCCTTTTTCTCAATTTGAAGTTACTGTCTCTTTTCATAAGGTCTTTTAGATTATTAAATGCTGTTTTTCTTGCCCTATTCTTGTTTTGATTTCTTCCGTGCATCTACCATCACAGATAATGTTGCTTCCCAAATACACAAAATTTTCCTCATAAGTTCCCTATTATAATTTATTTCCAATTTCGAAACAACCATTACTTTGTTTTTTACAGCGTTCTCTCTTATACTATACCATATTTTTCACTCTTTTTCCACTAATCTGTTAATGAGTTTTTGGAATGCCCCTTCACTATCTGTGATAAGAGCAGTATCATATGCATAATATATACAGTACAGTGGTCCCTTGGTTAACGAACACAATTCGTTCCAGAAGGTTGTTCGTTAACCAAAAATTTCGTTAACCGAAACCATTGTTTCAATGGGTTTTTGGCTAATTGGTTCCAGCTCACCGATAATTCAAAGGTAAAAAAAAAAGGCAGTAAAGTACACTTACTTTGAGGTGTGTATGTAGAAGGCTCCTGGATGATGATGCTCATGTGAATTTGAAGTGGGAGGTGGAGGAGGAGAATGGAGTGGAGGAGGAGAATGGAGAAGAGAAGGATGTGGGGGTGGAGGAAAAGGGAGAAGAGAAGGCATTGGGGTGGAAGAGAAGTCACCCCATGCCACCATTTCACCCATAAAATTTTAGCTCACTTGGTGTAATTTAAGATTATTTTCTTTAAATCAACACTGCACTGCATTATTTATTGTCAATATGGAAACACAGAAAAAAGCATTTATGTTGAAGAGTCTCAAACAAGATGTTCCTTCCTCTGAACCGATAAACAAACTGATGCCAAGCTTGGTGTGTTGAGTGGCTGTTTTGCGTGCAAAAAACTAGTTTCCTGAACTTCAATTATGTTCAATAATTGTTGAAATGACTAAAAAATTTAATATAAAACTTTTAAAATTATTGAATAGTACAACCTTCTTGATATTTACTGAATGGTAACGAATTTAAGCCCTAGAATTGATTTCTGTATTGGCGGACTAATACTACAGCTGGTGAGCAAGCAAATGCAAGCGAAAACATGTTGGGAAAAATTCGTAAGGAATTCGTTAACCAAAATTTTTTCTTTAACCGAAGTGAAGAATCTTATGGAAGGTAATTCGTTAACTGAACTTTCGTTAACCGAGGCGTTCGTTAACTGATATTTGATATTACTTTACCATTAACTTTAAGTCTTTCATTATCACTTGATCACTTATATTAACATTGGACAAATGAAGTTCCTAAAACAATGTAACAAAGAACGAACATACCAACCAAACAGCTAGTAAGCTGATAAGTTTTGAAATGATACAGCCAAAAAAATGACCAATCAGTGGCGAGAAAGAAACACCAGCATCTATTTAACAAATTACTGTACGTTCTCCCTGAACAATAATCTTATACAGTACTTAGATTGAAGCAGTGTGATAATTTAGTAACTTTTTTGACCAATCAATGGGAGATTGAAACACAAGCAACTATTTAGCAACTCTTATTCAGCTTTGATCATCTTGTTTGTTTTTGCCTTACAGAGGTTAGCTCCTGTGTGGCCAACAGAACCTTGTTGTGGTGAACTGGCCAGGCTCAGTGGAGAGCTAGCCAATACAGTGCATTCTACCCATTTACACCCACTAAAAAATTATTTGGCACCCGTGCCATATTGTATCACGCCATAAGGGTGCCGAATAAATTTTTAGTGGGTGTACAATACAGTCTAAATTAGTAGTAGTAACAGGAGGTAGATTATTGGAAGTAAAGTATACCCAATAAAAAATTATTTGGCACCTTTACGGCGTGATACAATATGACACAAGTGCCAAATAATTTTTTAGTGGGTGTACTTGAGGGACTCTGAGCCTAAGGGCATTAACCCTGAATACAGTACCTCCACACCTCTCTCCAGATAGAGCAAAGTTGGGGAAAGATAGTGCTATAAAAATAAATATGTTCCAGCAAGTTGGCACTACTGTAGGTACCTTGTTCCATTGTAGGTCTCAATGTAGTCACCACTAGAGACTGTGTCAGGTTATCATTATTTTTAATGCCGAAAAACCTATGTGTTATTGCATTAACCTTACCATGGCAGCACTTTGTAAATTTTGGTGTTAGTTGTATTAAAAGCTTATCATTGGACCATATTGATTGATTAGGTAAAATATCTGGCATTGCAGCCTGTAGCCATTTGATGCTGAAAATGAAACTTAATATTCCAAAGAACCACTCTTTTTCATTTAGAATTTAAATATCCATTTATCATGTGTTTATTGTGCTCTACAAATTCTGAGGTATAAAATAGGATATTTTAGTTCAATCCTCCATTTACTGTATATTTATATGACATTTCCTCTTTTCAGAATATGCAATAATGTTGATTCAAAATTTGCTGAAGGTTAACCAGAATCAGATAAGATGTGGGCACCGATTCACAAGTTGGCTGTTAAAGATGAATAAAATCAGCACCATAAACCCATTCATCTGCTTATGTTTCAGTAATTTTACTACCAAATATAATTTAAGTGGAAAAGATTATCTCATGCGTGCAAATAAGGAGAGTTCATATCTTTATAGAAGACACTTTCAAATATTAATTAAAAGACCAAACCTCTCCTCAGTCATAAATGTGAGTTATGCATTGCATGGATTTCATACAAGCAACTTTAATCTCGATAAAATGATAGATAGATCAAGAGTACCACTGCTGAATGAAGATGACCTGGAAGAGAGTTTTGTTAGAGGAAGTGGGCCAGGTGGCCAGAGCGTTAATAAGACTTCAAGTGCCTGCATGTTGAAGCACATACCCACAGGTAAGAGCTACTGGATGCACATTTTCTATCTGTCTGACAGCATGTAGCTTCTATGTAATAACTCTTTCTTTTCATGCAACTCAGGAGAGTGTTGCCATTAGGAATACACACATGTTTATTGATTTTGTGAGCAGTAGGTCAAGGTCTATGAGCATTTTATGTGCCATTTGTGGTACAAGTACTCGTGTTGAGTGCCCTTAACACGAGTTCTGCTGGCACAAGATGGCTCCCACATTTTGACTTTGCTAAAAATTTTATCTACACTCGCCACAATAAGTTCTTGATACTCTAAGAGTCATACAATATGACAAAATGAACGAGAAATCTGAACATCGCTCTCTGAGGAAGTTTTATTACAAATTAAATTCTTCTTTTCACCTGTAAATACTGTAAAGACGAGCAACATATAATTATGAAATATTGAGTCACTTCTGAGATGACACGAGCCATGGTGCTCATTCCAAAATCTGTCGTGCACACCTGTTTGAGAAATTTTTGTAGCAAATGTACAGTACAGTACAGTATAGTATACTGTACTATGCAGTATTGTATTTCAAGGTTGCTTTACTAATAGTGTAGTTGTTTGTCACTGAATTATTGGCTACTGTTTCATACTGTATTAATACTTTTAACATGCAGCACAATTTTACTATTACAATATAAATAGTAACAATATTTTTCCAAGTTTTATATTAAAATTATTAGTCGTTTTAACACTTATTTAACATAATTGCAGTACAGGGAACTAGTTTTTGGTGCACCCATCAGCCAGGCCACTCACCCACCAAGGCGTCAGTTTGTGTCTATGTTCAGTGGAGGAAATATCTTGCTTGAGGGTCTCTTGAACACAGAGTATTTTGACATTTTTACAGTACAATTATTGGTCATTCTGAAATTTATTTAACATATTGACGATATATAGTGCAGTGCAGAGTTGATTTAAAGAAAATAATCTTGAATTACACCTAGTGAACTTAAAATTTTATTGGTGAAATGACAGCATCAAGCATGGGGTGATTTCTCTTCCATCTGCACTTCCTTCTCTTCTCCCTTCTCCTCCACCCCCACTTCTAATTCCCATCATCATCATCATCAACCAAGAGCCTTCTACATACACACCTCAAAGTAAGTGTACTTTACTACATTTTTGTTTTACTTTGTATGTACTTTTCGGTGAGCTGGAACCAATTACCCAATATCCCATTGAAACAATGGGATAACGAAATGCAATTACTATTTTTCCCCAACACTTGTTTTTTTTTTTTGCTCTACATAAAAAGTTTGGACAGCATTTGACAAACAGTAATCCAATATAATCCATTTAATTTCAGTACTTCCCACATTTCTTCATCTACTGCAGGTAAATTCCTCCCCCCTATTCCAGAAACTTATTGCTAAAGTTCTCCAATGTAACATTTCATCCATGCATCATCTTCCTTTTCTGAACACACACTGCCCTTCCCGTGTTTTTAACTGTTCTCAGGTTTTAATTTTACTACATCTACACTTCACATGGTATACTGTACTTAAAAGACTTCTCTATAATTTTTATATTCCTTCAGATTACCTCTCCTGTTATACATAGGAACTAAAGTGCTCTCTGCCAGTCCTCTTCCCTCTGTCATGTATAGCCGGTTTAATCTTGTCATCCATTTCCACCTCCCAGCCTAAACATTTCAATGTTGATCCATCTAGCCCTGGTGCCTTATTATTCTTAAGCTTGCTTACCGCCAATTTTACCTCTATTTTTTTCCTTTTTCACTTTGACAATTTATTCTACTTTATCCATAACAGGATAACTCTGCTCCTCTCATCTGTAACAGTTCATAATTTTCTCACTACCACCATTTTATTTCCTCTTGTTGCTGTCATGTATCTCCACTTTTATTCTTAATTGCCAGCTAACTGCATTTTCTTGTGTGTCTCACCCTATACAGCTTCTGAACTTTTTGACAACCTTCTTCCCGTATTTCATCTGCTCTGCTTTTGCTTTTCTTTTGACTTTATTGTACAGTACTTTTCCTGTCTTCCATCAGTCCGTATTTATAACTGGCTCTTGTACAGCTTTCTCTATACAGTACATAACCTTTACACTGGCTGATGACACAAGTTGCATCACTAAGAGCCTGACAGTTCCTAAACCCCTTCCTGTTAGCTTGTATCAGGCACAGCCACAACCCCTCACATTGTGCATTTTCTTTAAAATGCTCATTGAAAATTTTTAAAACACAGCTTATGAAGATTAGATTGAATGTTCTTGATTAATGTTTAATACAAATTTTCTTTCAGGTATTGTTGTCAAGTGCCATGAAGACAGAAGTTTATTAAGAAATCGAAAGAAAGCTCGTCAGTTGATGATAAAGAAATTAGATGTTCATTTTAATGGAGAAATGAGTGTAGAAGCTCAACTCAAGAAAATTCAAGATGCAAAAAATATAAAATTGCAGCAAAAATCAGTGAAGAGAGAAATGATGAAAAAGTCTTGGAAAGAAAGAGAAGGTATTGAGTGAAATAAAAAAGGAGTCAAATCAATTCTCCCACTTAATGCACTGTATCTTCAGCTCACAATGATCATGGTATGTACAGTACAGTAATTTATATTATACAGGTACTCCTCGACATACGACCGCTGCAGTCGTATAAAATATTTTTCAAATTACGTATTTTCGAGTCCCGACGTTAGTGATCGCGCTGTGTACTGACAAAATTTTCGTTTGTAATTCCCTTTAAAATGGCTGGCAAGTGTAAAAATGAGAGTTCTTGTGGTGCTGAGAAGAAAAAGAGACACCCATTTTAAATTTTCTATGTATTATTTTCGCCTTTTCACCCGGTCGTCGGTCCGGAACCCTGTCGTAAGTCGAGGAGAGACTGTACTCAGTAACATAGCTTTTCTTTTCAAGATAATATGCATGGTTTCATGCAAAAGTGTTAGAATCATTACTAAAGTTTCTGTAAATCTGGCTCGAGTAAACTTTGTAGGTTACTCATAATTGTAATGTGTGGATATCTTTAATCCTTATGCCCCAGGGAACGTAAGACCCACTGGGACCCCCATACAGGCATATTTTTGGGGAGAGGGGGGATCTACTTTCGAAAACTGGTATTTCAGACGTAAATTAATGCAGTCACTCCAGGTGTACTGTTGTGGCTGACGTGCAGGTGTTCCCCTTTGGCCAGCGAGGTCGTGGTTGATGGGGAGGGGAAGTGAGCGCCGTTGTCTGTATCTTTGTCCTCGCCCCTGGTTGCCTTAACAAACTCAGCATCATTGTCTATGCCATCCGATACCATATCAAATGCCACTCAACTCAAGCAACCTTTGATGAATAGCACACTACTGTCGAGGGTGTGGAGGAGTGTGACGGGTCACGAGACTTCAAAGGAGGTGCATCCATCATGATAGCTGGTGGGTTACTTGACCACGAGACTTGAGATAAAGATTACATGCGAATTGAGTTGCCAAGTAAATTTAATATCCCATGCAAAGTACTTCTTTCTGCCTGAACATTCAAACCATGCCATGAAAATTAAGAATGTGGAGGAACGGCACCTGGACTTTAAGGGTTAAACTTGTTGTAATTATTTTGTACATGCTCTTTCATGTAAATTTTTCATGAATGTATTAGCCTATTATAATTTCGTACAATACGTATATGGTCATGTAAAAGGACCTTAAAATATGAATTTTGAAATGAATAAGCAAATAAAAACGTATGCATCTGATATCGTTGTTTTACAACCATTTTCCACACTTGTGTGGGTTAGTCATGACAATTACTTGATGACATAGTGACCCCGTTGCCATCAAGCAAGTTTTACAACTGGATGGCTTTCCTTTCGCCAACCCACTTTTACACAGTGGGAGCTGAGGATTTTATATAAGAATTCCAAAGTTCCTCTTTAACTGACAAGGCAGGGTCATAACTCCCTGAGGTAATCAAAGAACGACCTACCAGCCCAAGGTGTGGAATAAAAAAATAGTACTGGGCTTTAAAATAGCCCTTGACATAAGTCAAGAATAATGGAGGGACTCTACACAGGGCCACTGGTCTCCTTCCCTTAGCATGTGGCAGTAAATAAGATACCTGACAAATGAAAATGTGCTGATCAGAATATATATATATATATATATACAGTCAACCCTCGCTTTACGCGGTCCCACATTCCGCGTTTCCACGTTTATGCGGTACCCTGCCGAAACCGGAATGCTCGCATTCCGCGGTGCATGTACCCCTTTACGCGGAGAGCGGCTGGCGAGCTGCGCCATTTTTGGATCCAAACCTCCCGCCATCCGCCATGTTGTGTAAGCGGCGCGAGCAGGGTGCGCACAAGGTCGCCCAGTCATCAAAACATTACCAAGTTCTTCACCCACCACAGCCGGCCCAAGTCAGTGATAGTGAAAATGATAGTGAGGATATGGACTTATATGGACTTTGAGGGGTTTGACAAAGAGGCCCTGCAAGCCTCTGTGGTGGATAGTGATACAATTGATACAGGTGAGGGCCAATAATCTGCCCTCTGCCTCGGAACCAACCCCCCATCCCCGTGTGCCCAGCCATCTTTTCTACTAATGTAAGTGTTAAAAAACCTAATATTATTGATATTTCTCTTAATTATTAATTGTGTGTGCATACCATCATAAAATTAAGAAGTTATTTTTACTACAACATAGGTATTGTGTCTGAAAAAGTGGAGTTTGGGGGTCGGCCCGGTCTCTATTTCAATTAATCCCATATGTTATGTTGTTCACTTTACGCGTTCCTCACTTTACCTGGGCCGCCGTGGGTTGAATTAACCGCGTAAAGTGAGGGTTCACTGTTTAAGACTTACCTTTTTGGTGGTTTTTGGCCAAAAATTAGATTTTGCTGAAAATCACAGTATGGGTTTTCCTGAGTAGTGACTAGTAACGATGTTAATAAGCAAATAGACAAACTGAAGCCTAATAAGTCACCTGGTCCCGATGAGATATTTGCCAGAGTATTAAAGGAATGTAAGGATGAGCTTAGTATGCCCTTAGCAAAGTTGTTTAAATTGTCATTAAAAACAGGTGTCGTACCAGAATCCTGGAGGATAGCGAATGTAATACCGATTTTCAAGAAGGGGGATAGATCACTATCCTCTAACTACTGCCCAATCACTCTAACATCAATAGTAGGTAAATTACTAGAATCAATTATTTCAAACTCTATTTGAAACCGCCTGGAGAAGCACAAGTTGATCAATGATTCCCAATATGGCTTCACAAGCGGGTGTTCATGTCTAACTAATTTATTAACATTCTTTTCATCAGTTTTCGAATTGATGGAAGAGGGGCACAATTATGATGTGGTATATCTCGACTTAGCAAAGCCTTCGACAGAGTCCCCCACGAAAGACTAATGAGAAAGGTAGAAACGCATGGCATCAAAGGTAATATCCTTAAATGGATTAGGGCGTGGTTATGGGATAGGAAACAGCGAGTGAGCATAAACAGCACTAAATCGCATTAGAGCAACGTCACTAGTGGAGTTCCCCAAGGCTCAGTACTTGGACCATTATTATATATTATATACATAATCGACATAGATATCGGCATAGACAGCAACATAAGTAAATTTGCTGATGACGCTAAAATAGGACGTGTAATTAAATCTGACGAGGACTCTGCAAAACTACAGGAAGATCTAAACAAATTTTTCGAATGGTCGGAAAAATGGCAGATGAAATTCAATGTGGACAAATGTAAAGTACTCAGTATAGGAGATGTAAACAGGGAAACCAGTTACCAGATGACAACGATGCCATTGTGGAATCCGACTGCGAGAGAGATTTAGGAGTAATGATAAGTAGGAATCTTAAGCCAAGTAAACAATGTGTTTTTGCTCGTAACAAGGCTAATAAAGTACTTGGGTTCATACAAAGGAGTGTTAGTTACAAGACTAGCGAGGTCATCTTAAAATTATATCTAGCGCTTGTGAGACCTCACCTGGATTACGCAGTTCAGTTCATTGGAAAGAATCCAGAGGAGAATGACAAGACTAATCCCGGGCATTAGGAACCTTGAATACAGAGACAGGTTAAAGCATCTTAATTTGCACTCCCTCGAGAGACGTAGAGTGAGGGGCGACATGATAGAGGTGTATAAATGGAAGTCAGGGTTAAACAAAGGGGACATTACAAAGGTACTCAAACTATCCAACCAGGAGCGAACTCGTAACAATGGTTTTAAATTAGACAAATTTAGATTTCGGCGTGAAATAGGTAAACACTGGTTTGGAAACAAAGTAGTGGATGAATGGAACAAGTTACCAAATATCATCATTAACTCGAATACGCTGGATAGCTTCAAACATAGGTTGGATGCTTATATGAGCAATAGGGGTTGGGTATAAACGGGACTGCCCGGTATGGGTCAATAGGCCTGCTGCAGTTTCCTCCATTCTTATGTTCTTATATACAGTATACCGTAGTGGACAAAATGAGAACTTGCAGTTTTTTGTCAATTCAGTCACTCATGATTCATTTCCTTAAGCTTAATCTGAATTACAATTAAACTAAGGTTTATCACACATTTCACAAAATCTCAATTTCCACAATGTCCAAATTGTTTACCTTCAATTGCTCCCTTATTCCAACCTTTTTAACCAGTTGTACTACAATTAGGAACATCTCTCAAAATACTATACTATAATAGTTTTGTCTCTACAAGAATGTAAATTTATCCTTTAATGAAATGTAAAATCTACAAATTCATATTATCTGGAGACAAATAATTCACCCATTATCCTATGAAGGTAAGAAAATTAATACGTACTTGACATCAAATTATCACTGCTAATTTTTTATATTTAATAATTGGATGAATGACAGCACCAATTTTGCTGGCTGTACATGTGGATAATGGAACTTGGGAGGGGAAAAAAAAAAAATTCATGGAAACACCATTGCTAGCCCCCCAAGAAACTGACCTGCTACAAGCAATGACAAGTTGTAGGATGCATGGAAGAGATACTGGACATGGATTAAAATGAACTAAGCTACCACCAGTAGACAGGTGTGATATTGTATACAGGCAAATATTCTGTCAGTGACAGCAACCTTAATCCCAGACTGGTAGAATGACAAAAGTGTGTGGAGTCCATAGTTACTTGGATGATGATGTGGGTTTCCTTATGGAGACCTTGAACTTAAGGTACCTGTCTTGCTTTGATCACCTCGGTCAGCTCTGCACCACTGACATCCACAAAGTGAGATAAGACTGGCAGATATGACTACTTCAAGCCCATTGCACTGCCTTAAAGGTCAAGAATCTAGTTCAACAACATAATATTCTAGCTTCTACTTGCACAGCAGTGGTGAGCTCCAGAGCTATGAAAAAACTCACTTGGTTATACTTTACTAGGGATGAGGGCCATTCAGTGAAATATTCCCCCCACCCCCTCCTAACCAATGCACACATCCTGTTTATAGGTTTACAGAGGGTCCCCGTCGTACGAACACCCAACTTACAAATGCCTGCCGATACAAACGAGGTTAAACTTAAATTTACAGTATTTTATTTACCTGATGACTTTCATTTTTTTACCGGGTACTTTTATTTACTGTATTTTGTTTCCCCTTTTCTCTTAAATTAAGTGAATTTAGATGTACAGTATATAAGGACTTAGGCTATACTATAGTGGGATTTTAATCATTGTTCTGCAAGTACAGTATGTACATAGCATGTGTTTCGACTTTCGTAAATTTTTTACTTGAGAACGTCCTCAGGAACAGAACCCGTTCGTAACCCAGGGACCCCCTGTACATAAAAATTTGTTTTAGTATTACTTAAGACTGAGTACCAATTAAGTTTGAAGTCACTTATTTTATAGAAAGAGAACTTGGTGATCTATCTTTGGTTGAGTTCAAGGCTATGAAGAGAGAAAGCTGAAAGATGAATGTACAATATATAGGTAAAGAGAAGGATAACATCTTTTCTGCTTTCAGAAAAAATCTGAGCTAAAGCGTAAGACCTGTTCCTGAGAGTCATACTGAGTTTATGATGTATCTGAGACAATTTTTGTTTTCATTATTACAGTACTAACAATTTGGATGTTAAAAGAAAAAATAATTACAGCATTAAAAATTTTAGATGAGAAAAAAAGAAGATACTGTTCCTTATTGCATATATGGGCATATGTATAAATCGATTATTAAAATGCATTTTATTATACAATAGACTGGACTTTAATACAGTTCCATAAACCACAATGATTATCTAGACTGATAATGGTAATAAGCCTCTAGGCCTCTTCTATTCATATTTTGTTTGCATTCATATTTCATGGAGCTTAATCAACTTAAGAGATCATAACTATACATTATTGGCAGTACAGTACAGTATATTGAAAAGTACCAAAACTTTTTTCTACAATCTGAACAAAAATTTTTTTTGCAGTCATGTATTATTTACTCTATTAACTTATTGAACTGGAAATAACATTCATAGAGGGAGAATGACTAATTAAATACTAGTAATCAACAGAAAATTTCCTGATAATTTATTCTTATGTTTAATATGTTTGGATATCATTAAAATAATTATGGACCCATTCTATACTGTAAAATGTATTGCATTAAGTGGTAATTTTGTTTTATTATATATATATAAAAAAAAGTTGAGGAAGGGACTCCATCATTTACAATTAGTATTTAGACTCCCAATTTTGATGCCAGGCCTAACAGTCTGGAATTCTTAACCTGTTGTGTACAGGCTTCCCTCCGAGATGAATAAAATCGTCTGGCATTAGCCAAATAAAGTATTAAAAGTGGTGTCCCCATAGTCAAAGGGTTAGTGGAAGCAGTCTACTAATCCTTTGTGTATGGGTTCCCCTCAGAGCAGAATAAAATTGTCTGGCATTAGACAAATGAAACATTAAAAGTAGCATCCCCTTAGTGAAGGGGGTTAAAGTGGTAAAATCTGTTATACTGAGACCCACCCACACAATTAATCAACCTCAATATGGACACGCCATCATACAAGTAGAGATGGCTTAAGCAAATTAACATTAACAAAATGGACAATTATATAGCATACCTTTTGCACCTGCAATGCAATCATAAATTACAACATAGGGAATACTGATTGTAAGAAACTACTTCACTGTTTATTCCTATGTATAAGTTTTGTGAATTCACTAATAATGGCACTAAAACCTGTAAATATTATAATTAATGATTTTATTGAAATAATGTAAGCAAGGGTGGCTGTGAATGGTAGTACAGTTCTGTATATACATTTCATGTAAGTAGCATGTACTGTATGTGGAATGGGCATATGATTTTAGTATATGCAGGTGTGGATACAGAGGCATTGTGTAAACATGTCTGGGCAAATGCAAGCTAGTGTGGAGACTCATAAGTAAGTACGTACAGTATTTATAATTTATTTATTTATTTTTTAAATGTGATCATGCTATAAAACTGATTTTTTTCCTAAAAAATATATATTTATCAAATATCTACAGTATCTATTTTTTCCCAAAATATGTGATATTATCATGATGTAGAGTGAAATTTTTTTTTATAATCACTGGTAAGAGTACCATGAGCAGATGCTAATACTCCTCTGTGTAAAGCAACTGAGCTAAAGACAAAACAATTAGACAACAATATGCCAACACCAGGGTGTTAACAAGGTCTGTTAAAAATTAGGGTGTTAAGAAGAGGTCTTTGTTAAAAAAGTGATTGAGCTAAAAATAATTATTTTCAATAAACATTTACACTATCTATTTCTTCAAAATAAATGACTGATGATTATGAAGTAGAGCTAATACCAAACATTCAATATTTACTGTACAATAACCAATATATTTTAAATATCTATTTCTTCCACACAACTGACTGATGATGATGATGAAGTGCAGCTAACATCAAACCTAACTCTCTTTTCTTCACTGGGAACACCTGTAGAAGAACGTAATGAACTTTTCATCTGAGACTGTTTCTGTTCTGCTAATTTTTGTAAGAGTTTTTGGTATTCTTGACTATTTCTTGGCCATTGAGTTAGATGTTTTTTATTGTATTTAATGACATGACTTGTTGATGATTTTGACTCTGAAGAATTGTTTGAGGTATTTAAAATATTCTGTATATTTTCAACAGCTTGAACAGATCGCCAGGCCACAGTATGTAAGTTATCCATAAACTCTCTACTATTTTCTAAGTCAGAATTTGAGGAGAATGAGCAGTCCTCTATATCATCTATAGGTGTTGGGCTAACACCAGCAAAATGCATAAGATACTGCAATCTTGTCAGTAGGTCTTCCACAACATTCTTAAAATCTTCCAAACTAAGTTTCCCTGTGAAAATAAATAAATTAATACAGATGTTTTATTCTTCTCTAATTTTATGAAATACCTACAACATAATATACTTAATGAATATGGTATGTCCACTGTCTCAAATGTTCCACTGTACTTTTCTTCCCTCCCACTTACATTGATTAATTATCTTTTGACTCAACTAGTATTAATCACATCACTTTATTTTATTTTTTTAATTTACAACCATTTCAATAAAATGAGAAAATTCTATTACTAGCTGTAAATGACTACATTAAGTAGTTTTTGATGCATTTATCTAGATGTAAGGTATCTGCAGATACAGTGTTATAAAATACAAGGTAGTATAGTAGTATTTTATAATACTGTTATCTCATATAATGATAGGAATTAAATTTTTTATGGAAAAATAAGTGAATATTCATATTAGTCACAGTCAGCCCCGCACTTGCCTTTCTTGATGTTGGTGCGTGAAAAAAAAGGGGGTACTGGTATGTGTACCTGAAATTACGAGATGATAAATAATCGTTCTGAGTGCTATCTCTGCCGTCCTTCTCTCCCACACTGGTTCAGTGAACACCTCCTAGGCATTAGCTGGTAAAGTGGGTGCTGTAAGTGCCAACCATATATTCTGTATTGTAGTGCAGTGTGTCCCCCTCATCACCTACGACACCAAAAGCTTGAATTATCCTGCACTGCCATTAAGTGTTAATTTTTGGGCATGTTTTCTGGTTATGGTAGACTATTTGGCAAAAGAATTGTGTATTGGGGAATGGGACGAAAGATTGGGAGGCAAGTGTCTTGATAATTCGGAATGGTTAGAACCTATATATTTCAAGTTATGAAGGGTTTACTGTTGATGCCAAATGTATAAATTCATCAACCACTTTCAGTTACTCTCCACTTAAAGTAGCTTTACACGTAACCATCTCCTAATACATACAGAACTATACTAAAATTCTCTTTTCAATACAGTATTCTCATCCATCATAAAAGAAACTCTCTCCCTCTCGTCTTGTGACTTCATTGTTTAGCTTCAATTCCACAGTTACCCAGTCTAACTCACGTCAACACGGCCCATTCTTAAAATACATTGAACCTGAGCACCCACAGTGACAAAACACAATTCTTCAAAACAAAAGTAATTCCTCTTACCTTGTTGGGATAATGTAATATGATTCATAACTGCTAAGACTGCTACTGTTAGTTGAGTAATAGTGTCTGCAGCCGATTCTACACGATTTACCCAAAGAATAATTTTGCGTGTCTGCTCGTCTTCAGGAAGGCTTTGGTCATAATTCAAGGTGGCCTGATGATAAAAGAATTAAATCCAAAATTTGAGCTCCAAGTGTTTTGATTGATACCTTCTGTATCTATGTACAATCACGAGGACTGAAAAATAAGTTTTCATTAGCAGAAGATTAAAGGTATCTGATCAGCAGGTTTATCTAAGCTTGAAGAGAAGATTATCCTCTTTCTACAAACTCATGGCACAATGACCTACTACACCATGCACAAATGAAACAGAAATTGAAGTTTTGATAAGTGATTGCATTTATTGCCTTTTTAATTTTTCTCTAAACTTTCACCTCACTAGTACCAGAAAGTGATGAGCGATGGTTTTATGATACAATGAATAAAAGGGAGGTAAATAACAGGGACCCCTGTGTAAAAAAAAATTCTCCTATATACAACTCCCATAGATTATTCCTTTAATATTATATCATGGTGGATACATCCATAACACTGATTATAATTTATATCTACTGCAGTGCTTGGCTTTTTCTGTGAAATAGTTTTAATGTGAACTGATAGTATTTATATATAAACCTGAATTTTAATACATGTTTCACATATAAAAACATAAACATGTGGAATTAAACAAAAACAAATTATAATAAAAAAGGTACAATATACACCAAGAACAACTTACATTGAGTTGTGCAAATTTTTTCAGAAATGCAGAGATGGCAGATGTTGCAGACTGACAAGCAAGTGAGAGGGCATCACAGCTTTCAGATCTGAAAATGAAATAATGGAAATTTAATAATAAATTTTATCTCCTGCTGTCAACAGTACTGAAACTAGTCTAGAACTATGAGAATAGCTTCTATTAATCTGAATTGACTAACTGAATTGTATTCAGGTACCCGCTGATTTTATAATGTCCTATAAAATTGGTTTCAACAAGTCTTTATACGAATGTAAATATTTAATTGATGAATAGCACTTTAATGAATATTCACTTTAACTATAAGCAAATTTTGCTTTAACAAACGTCTTGCAAAAGTAAAAATTAAAATTTCACGCACAGAACTAGTTTTAGCTTTCACAGGCAAGAGAGCCACTTTGGATGTGCAGAGATGCATTTATGCTCTGATGCATTGGGGGGGCCTGAGACAAAGAGATAAATTTTTTAATGTGTTTATTATTTACAATTGTTTTAACAGAACCTGCACTTTATGTGACAAAAACTCCCAGTTGTCAACAGTTCCCTCCTCAGAAAATAACTCCCAACAATAAATAGAAATAAGTGGAAAATGGCCATAAATTGTTGTTTTGATTCCCCTGGAACAAAATCCCAAATAATATACCGTATGGGTTCTACTATATTCTATATATTTTTCTCACTTAACCAATGAATTTCCAGGAGCCCATCCCCTTTGTATATTGCAAAACAATTAAAAAGTATATACAGTCTATATAAGATAGAAATTTTTTTCAGAAAGGAGTAAAATAAGATTCAATATTCTCACCTGTCAACTTCTTTGCAGGTGGGAGCTGCCAAGAGGACTGTGGTCTTACTTGCAGTTTTACCAGAATTGATCACCAACCAATCAAGTCCATTTCTTAATCCATCTGTGAACTTCTTGAATAAAACTCCTCCTGAAATTATTTATTCTGATAAAATAAATTTCCAGTACAATTGAAGCAACCTAATTTTTTTCCTCATACTTTTGTATAAACTACAATTTGCTAACATCTGTGAGAGATCTGAACCAATTTAACCACAACTGTCAACATGACAACATAGTGTCACGGGTCAATCAGGTCAGGGTGGGTGTCAATCAGGTCAGAGACGAAATCAATTATGTTAGGGCAGAAGTCAATCAGGTCTGGGTGGGAATAAATCAGGTCAACATTAAAAACAATTATTACATGCTTTTCCATAACTGTGGCATAAATAAATGCACTGGTCACTGACATGATGCTGGTCAATAACTTCAGAGTTGACCTGATAATGAAACGCCATTTGTCAGGTAAGGGTAACTGTCGATCAAGAATTTTGCTGTCTTTACTATAAGTACTGTCAGGTATTTCTTCTATCTTTCTTGTCATTTAGTCCAATAAAATAAAATAGCAATCATCATAATATATTTATAGATATACTGTATGCACCAGTAACACCAGTGGTAACCAGAGTGTTCCATTCATTTTATAGACATAAATAAAGGCACACTGCAGCTTATGTAAACTAATCTCATTAATATTCCCTTCAGCATATTCTATAAATCTTATATATAAGCATATTTCTTAAATTACAGTTTTCAATATAAATCTACAAGAGTGAGGGAGAGAGACTTATGTATTGGGGGAAATAAAAAAGAAGAAAGATTTAGGAGTAAGAGGTACAGTTGGGGTCAAAAGTTCGTTCCCCCTCAAAATAAAGCAGAATCGAACCTAAATGAGATAAAACAATAGACCTGCACCAGACAACAGCCAAGGTAACTAAGTTTGGGGATTCATTCCCATGACTCAGTTTCACTACGGGGAGTGAACTTATTGTCTGCGACTGTACATAGACTTAACCCCTTCACTGTGGGGATGCCACTTTTAATAGTTTATTTGGTTAATGCCAGATGATGACCCCACACACAAGGGGGGTTAAGAGGAAGAAAGACTAAGAGGAATATAGTCTTTGAAGTATATTACAGTACAGTATTTGGGAATGGTTTACTTGATTCTTTGGAGATGTGGCACAGTAGTGCTTCATTAAAACTTAGCAGAAAAGATGTCAAAGTGGCTGGAAAAATTCTGGTATTAAGGAATAAAACCCAGCAATGGTAGAAATCATGAGTAATCAGAAAATCCTTAATACCACAAGTGCTATGCTCCAACTATTCAGTTATTGAGAGATACAGTGTTATAGTCAGTTGGGCAAGATATTATGGTTAGGTTGTTGTAACATTTTGTAATTATGGCTACTTGTAATTATTCATAAACCAAGGTTAGGTTGACAATCTTATAACAGTAGTCACGCAATTACGCGTATTATATTGTAATAAGGATTTTGGAATAGTGCGGTGACCTAAATTGCCTCCACATATTATGATAGTGACACCCATTTTGTAATAAAGATGCGGTAGACCATGTGCGGTATTTCCATCACAGTGTAGAGACGCTCTGTGCGGGGGCAGACGTTGCATATCCCCACGTGCATGTGAGTGGTCCTGAGGTGCCGTCAGGGGTGGATCAACATGCCATTCTTCAGCATACCCTAACCCTTGGTGAAACCCCAAGATGTCTCTAAAGTGACCTTGATTGTTATCCCCTGGTAACCCTGACAAGAAGTCATGCAAGAAGTTTACTTTGAAGGAAGAGGTTAAAGTTATTGAAGTTAGTAACCATTATTGCTTGTCAGTATGGGGCCAATGAGAGCTCCAATTGAATTAAGAAAATGCAAAGTGCATGAAAAATTAAACAGGTCTACTCCCCGTCATCAATTCTCAAAACCTTCAAATATTAGATGATGAGGGCACAGCGAAACTTCCCTCACACTACCTCACACAGCTGTGAGCAGAGCGGGAGACCCTGCATCACGCTACATCACCACTGTGCCATATGACCGCTGCTGGACCTAAACGTGGCTGCAAGTACCTGTATTTCTACATTTAATAAATTAAGTAGCATGTTTTGTGTATTTTTCAGAACCTAGCTCCCATTTTCCTAAAGAAACAATATACTGAACAGCAATAAAGCAGAATTTGCAATACTGTGTACAATTATGGAATCATTCTCATGTAATTATGTGACACCACTGTATTACTGGATGAAGATGTTGTTGCAGGAACAATTTAACCAGCCAGATGACAAGTGAATCAGTAAAATTTGACATCAGCTGGTCCATGATGAAAATTCTACAAATTTGACCTTTAGTTTTGACGAATCTCAAGCAAGACCAGTAAGCTTTCAGGGTCAATTCTCAGGAGTCTAAACTAAAATTCATAGAGTGATACCGTAGTTACACAAAATAATTTTATGACTTTCCCCAATTAATGAATAAAATACAATGTACAGAGAAAATTACCTTAAACTGACGATGATGTATAGTGCTTCAAAATATGCATGACTCAGAGATTTCTTAACAATATTTATGTTTAGACATACTTCTTACCTGGTATTAATTTAGTGAAAGTTGGTACTGGTAATGGAGCCAAGAGAGCCAATTTTGCAATATCAGCTACAAGGGTCTGTGCCAATGATGTCAGTGTGCCACACTCTTCTTCCACCAGACTATCCACTTCATTCTTTACACCCTGATAAGCGTAAATAATAAACAGTCAAATATTGTAATTTAGTAAGATATATAATTCTATTTTAAGAAGGTACTATTTTTCCAATACACTAAAAAGGGAAATCACATCAATTCTACTCTAATAAACTTGGGGGATGGATGAGCAATAACACCACATAAGCTAGTGCATACTTCATCCTTCTCAGGATCCCTGTAATGGTTTTTAGGCATCAACCTCATCATTCCTGGCAACACCCACACACCAAGCAGGTGATTTCATGGGTCGTTCATGTTGGTGGTTAAGTTGCAGCATAAGTGTACTGATTATTTAGGAAATCATCGGATCCAATGTGCACAGATACTTTTTTGATCTAGTGTACACACCTCTTATTTTTACTAGATATGATTTTTTATATGATTTAGCTGAGGTCTGCCCTGGGAGTTGTTGTATGCTGATGGTTTAGGGCCCGCTCATACTGAAGCTGGAACAGGCATATTCTGACGCAAATTTCCGAATGAGTGAGTCAAGTTAACAACACATATCTTACAGTAAACTCCCTCTGACCTGGATTTACTTAATCCAAATCCCATTGCAAACTGGACTGGGGTCCAGCATCAAACACATGTATCCCCAACCCAGAAAATGCACAACCCAAATCCAGTTCGTACAGTATGGGGGAAAATTCGTGTAAGCAGGGGTTGCCACAGTCTTGGCAGAGGGTAACTCGGCAGCTGCCTCTGAGATGGTGGTTGCTGAGGGGCACTAAAGTGTCTAAGAAATATAAATAATGTACAGTACAAACAGTGTGAAATTAGTAATGAAAACATAACTTCTGCTCCACCTTTGGTAAATACTTTATGAGTGTCATACAATCACCTCCTACCTCAACTGCCTCGTCACCTCAAGACTCAACTGCTCCATGATAAGTTAATAACTAATAAGTACAGTACTTTATTATTAATATGTACTGTGCTTTTATTTTTCATAAACAGGCAGTAATAATGTATACCATATGAAACACTCTTCTACCTTGTACAGTTCTCTTACCACTTCCCATTATATGAGGATGTGGTAACTAGTGAAAATATTTATGGCCAGCAAAAAAGTGTGTAAACTTTTATCAATAACATCTGTTCTAATAGTGTAAGAAAGATGATTTTGGTACTGGAACAACCCTGAATAAATTCTTGATGTTTCAATGAAAGATCCTCAAACAAAATATTTCGACACGATTTAATGATGGGGAACTTGATTCTTTTATGAAAAAATTTTAGAAATGTTTATAACAGAGTACATAAAATCAGTTCTAATTAAGTTAGAAACACCAATTTCACATTAAAATAATCATGAATAGTCTATGAAAATATCTTTGTTTCAGTAAATACAGGACTGCGTAAAAAAAAAAAAAAAAAATATAAGATACAGGCCATCAAATGGAGGTACTTTTGTGGTGAGAGGCGTGAATGGAGCTGTGTATATGAGAGTGCCTGGCAACACCAGTCAAGCTGCCGAGAGCATATGAGACCAAGGAAAATTTTCCTTTTTTCCCACCATGTTAAAACCCTAAGCAACAACAACAACAAAAATAAATTTAAGTGGCTTATAAAAACCATGAGGGTGTTAAGTCTAGACAAAAAATTGCAGTAGGTTTGGTATTCTTAGGTAGCTTAAATCAGAAACCCCCCACCCCCTGAATTTTCCACCCTGCAATATAGACAATACAGACCTCCACCCAACCCGGAGAGGCCTTCCCCCAATTAGTTTATATTAAAGGGAGTTTACTGTACAGTATATTCAAATCACATCTACATGTAATTCAAATCTTTAAAATTTTATCCCTGAGGTAAAACAGCTTCCCTTTCCCTAGAAAGACAGCAAATCCGTGTAACAGGTATAAGCTACGCTGAGAAAATCATAATACCCACCGTGTCGTCACATCGTCTGTCTCCAGACAATAAGTTTCAGAATATATCTGCTTGTGGCTTCAGTCTGAATGGGCCCTTACAATTGATAGCATATAGTATGAAAGAGGCAGTGGAGATTTTTAAGATGTGGGAGAATGAAATAAAAGTTAAAGAGCCTAAGAATGAATGTGGTAAAAAAGAAAAGAAGAAGAAAAAAAAGGATGATTTTTAGAGTCAAGAACCTGAGTCACCAGACAGAGATTAGAGGAAACCAGGCAATATGAAGAGCTGCCAGAAAGTAATCATGGTTAACCCATGGAAGCATGGAAAATTGCCATAAAATGCTGGTGATAATGATGACACATTTGAGTACAGTAAGTCCTCAATATATGTGAGTTCAGTATATGCGAAGACCCTATTTCTACAAGAAATTCAATCAATATGAGCAAAATTCAACCTTATGAGAGATGCCACACTCCCTGATGACTTTACAGATGTCACTTCAACACCATCACCCATTATGAAAAACCTCTACCCAAGCTGATTGATCTGCTTTTATTGTTAAGTACATTGCACTGTACCCTTCCTCTATTATTTTAAAAATAATATTTTTTATATATTTTTTTATGGTTTATCTGTCTTGAAATCGTGTTGAAAATGGCTCTGAATTTTTTTTTTTTTTGGATTATGGAGCACATCATATTTTTTCCCATTTAACCAAGTATTCAAAATGTGCAATTTTGCTTTATGCGAGGGTTTTCAGGAATGCATCCCTTGCATATATCGAGGGCTTACTGTACTTGCATACCGGGGTAAGCTTGGTTCATGTACTATCAATCATTAAACAAACAGGATAAACTACAGCTAAAAAAAAAATAATAAAATACTGATAGATATGTTTAGAGATTAACTAAGGGTGTATTAATAACATTTATATTATAGACAAAAAAAAATTTAGTTCAAGGAACCACATACACCAGCCTAGACAACAACTGAGATGGACAAATGAAGTGCTGCCCTGTTTCCAATTAAAATCCTACTACTGTACTTATGTAACCGTTTGACTATTTTTCAAATTACAGTCAATAAAATTATTTTTTTTTTGTATTAGGATATTACAAATGCATATTTTAAAGGACAGGCTAACCTGGAAGATTCTAGATGCACAATTAGTGATCTTGGGTGCTGCTCGCCGCAGCTTATCCTGCAACTGTACACCTTCTTTGCAGTCTGTCGTATTCTCATTGCTGACTACAGCCAAGAGACTGCTAACTGCAGTTTGGCTTGAGTGATACAAATGAATGAGCTTCCTGCTGAGATCACCATCTGCCAGTGTGTGACCTGGCTCTGTTATGTGGTCTCTAATGTGCTGGAAGTATTACAAAATACATTTTATTCACAAATACTATGGTATATTTACGAATGATTCAATATTTGTGATAAGTATGAGCATCAATGTTTTAAGGTACACTTTGTCCTAAAATGCTAAGCTACATTTACCTATGACTCAATAAAATTAACAATGTTCTTATCAGTGACCATGAATAAGCTTCCCTACAAAAGTTGAACACATATGGCTGTCTACCACATCACCAATCCTTGTAGAAAAAGAGCCACAAAGGCCTGTTCATGAAGGCCTACACCATGAAATTTGGAACAAGTGGTTCCTCGATATATTAAAAATATGAGTTCTCTTGCCAGAGAGGCAGGTTAAAAGTTTCACATGATATGAGGCATTATAAACCATGGCCCCCCATATCCGATTCAACTTGAAAAGACAGCACTTTCCACTGAGAATGGAAACCAGGTCTAAAGATGAAATGCCAATTCTCATGAGACAGTATATTTGAGGATATTACCTGGTCTGCTTCCCCATATTTCCATATCTTAATATCATGTACAACTCTGGTTTCCATCTCTCTAAATACCAAAAGCTCACCCTATTACTACATTTGTAGTCCATCTTAATAACTCCCACAGTATCGTCTGACAAGGTGCAGCTTTCATCATAAGTTGACAAATTTGTCAGGATTACCACCAAATGATACTGTGTCCTGAGACCTAATTGGTGTCTCATCTTTGTTACATGTTCTGCAAGAGAGATCAGGCGATCCCCATCCTCAAGGGAACATCTGAATTCCAGCCCAGGACTAGTAAATTGTCACAGGAACAGGAGCATTAGCCCCTTCCTTTCCTGAAACCATCAAATCCATTCCACATGTGATCCTATCAGCATGAAGCCATTCACACTCTAAATCTTTCAGTATCATCCTACTTTAAAGGTAGAAAATAGCCAATAAGGCATATTTAAATATTCATAAAATATACTGCACAGGAATAAGATACCACAAATATCCATTTTTTTTAAATCTTTATGTTCATCCAACAATCCCACTACATTGCATGGTGACTAAAATCTTGAAAATTTTTTTTCTAGGTGACTTACCCGATGTGTTCAACTTTGGTGTTCCCATTCCCTAATAAGGCTCCAAGATAAGCTGTCTGGTTTACCCCTGTTGCCTCACCAATCATCATCATCATCATTAACTCAGCAATGTAATGTACATCCCCCAAAACCACTTGATACCATTCATTTTGATTATGGATACACACTGCTGATTCCTGAATGTCCATTTTCCTTGATCTACTGCTTCCCGGTACCTGTCCTTTCCTTCCCTTCTTTCTCTTACTCTCTGTGTTTGAATTGTATGTTCTCTATCAACCGAGCATCCACAAATTTGACAAATTATCCAATAGTGAAAAACACTTACTACTGTAACTCCATACAAATCAGCAACAGCATTTAAAGCAGTGGTGAGAGGAGGAGTTAAGGGGTCAGCAGTAGGCAAGCTGGCCAGGGCCCAGTGGACTGTAGCTGCTACTGTCACAGAACCTTTACAAGCAGTCATCTCTGAATTACTTGCAATATTTGAATGTTCTACACCAAGTAACATGTTATCTGCAAATGCAAGAACAAGAGAGGGGAAAATGTAAAAGTTGGTAGCAGTGTACACAAATATTAATTATGAATTTCTTATGCATGACCTTGACCTTCAGTAATTTAACAAAGGAATAGAACTAGTATGGAAGTATGTACAGTATAAAGCATCTGTACTACAGGTCTGGTCATTCAACCAGCCTTCAGATAAATTGTGTTCACAAGCATTAAGTAGTATTTTAACTCATATGACCTTAACCTTTGACTTGTGATCCCAGAAATTAATGGGGTGTAGAATGTCATATGTACAGTAATTTACATATAAAACTGTTTTTTCAGTGCTTTCTGTCTAATTTCCATCAAGTAAATTTTGTAATTACAGTGCAAGGTGATTCAAATGCCTTTACTTGCAACAAATCAGAATCCAGTACTGTAGGTGGCTGATAAGTAAAAATGTTTTAATCCCATGTATGGTCAATATCTAATACCATCCCTATAAAAGAATGGGAAAAAAGCCTATAAATCGTAAACTAAATTTTTTCAGATTATAATAGTGTATACTGCTACCTCACTTAACACTGCATAGGGAATACATTCCTAGAGAATGGCCTGTCAAGTCTTTGTAAACCAAAACAGTTTTACATGATATATAGAGGGTTATATTCCAGAACCCTCCAGACCCCAAAAATTCTCACTAAATCACATATAACAAAGAAACAGCAATAAACATCTTTTCCATATTTACAAGCAATGAGTTTCTCACTCTTGTTGTTGCTTTTTTTGCAACTCAAGAATTTGAAAGACCCAAACTAGTTTTAACTTCATCTGTGTTCTTCATTGCACAAATGTTTGAGTTACTCACAATAAACACACAACCAAGCATTGGTGCTGACACCACACTCTCATGTTGCTGAATTATCTCACACTTGGTTTGTAATGCAAATATTTTTTTTCTAATTATGGGGTTACCTTCCATTGCAAGAGAACTTGTACGATGTCTGGTGGGCGCTATGATGCAAGAAAAATCTGAACTGTGTGTAATCAACAAGACAGTTCACCACTTGAGGTCATAATAATGACATCCACTAATCTGCACACCAACACCACCACACACGGATTAGTGGATGTCATGATTATGACTTGACCTCATGTTAAGTAAGGTCGCCCTGTGTACTTAAACCTCTCTCCGTCCATGTACAGCAATTCATATGCTGATAACCACAAGGAAAGAAGAAAACACTTCGTGTTTTCTTCTTTCCTTGTGGTTATCAGCATATACCTAGATCACGCGCACCTACAGTGATATATATATATATATATATATATATATATATATATATATATATATATATATATATATATATATATATATATATATATATATATATATATATATATATATATATATATATATATATATATATATATATATATATATATATATATTTATTTATTTCATGTAAATCCACAATGAAAACGTGGATAAGATAAATCTTGATAAAATCACACCTGTTAAAAGATTGAATGTGTACCAACAAATCTGTGTATTGTACTCGGGACTCGAGTCAAAAGAAGGATAAATCTGACAAATTATCATACCAAACAATGTACTTCTAAGGGCACTTACTTCTCCTGCTGGTGTTTAAGCGTGGAAGAATGGATGATGGTGCACTAATGGAACAATTCAGAGAGGTATTTAACGTGTGGAGAGAAGGACATTCTAGTAATTTGTTCACAAATCCAGGCACACAGCTTAAATCTTCAGTGCGCTCCCATTGCAAGCTGGTTTCAAACATTTCATCTTCATATTCCTCACCCTGAAAAATGAAACCATATACTGTACTGTAGAGAGGCACATCCTGGTGGTATACAAGATAACAAACAAACAAACCCGAAAAACTCGTCCAATACTGAACTTGTTCAGTATTTTTACCCCAGATAAATTGTCACAATACCAAATATTTATGTCCTATAAATATAGTTTGGTAACACAAAACATTAATATACGCTAAATAGCATATACTGTATTTTTTTTTTTTACGGGAATTAGCCCATCCAGGCACAGGTCACTGACCCACATCGGGGCCTGGGGGGCGAAATGTAATAATAATAATAATAATACAGTAATACCCCGCTTTACGCGGTTTCACTTTCCGCGATTTCGCATTTACGCGGTACCTCGCCAGAACCGGACTTTTTTACGCGGTGCATCTACTCATATACGCGGGAAGCGGCGCGGGCAGGATGCGCACAAGGTCGCCCAGTCATCAAAACATTACCGAGTTCTTCACCCGCCACCCACCACAGCCGGCCCAAGTCAGTGATAGTGACAGTGATAGTGAGGATATGGACTTTGAGGGGTTTGACAAAGAGCCCCTGCAAGCCTATGTGGTGGATAGTGATACAATTGATACAAGTGATACGGGTGAGGGCCAATAATCTGTCCTCTGCCTCGGAACCAACCCCCAATCCCTGTGTGCCCAGCCATCTTTTCTACTAATGTAAGTGTTAAAAAAACTAATATTATTGATATTTCTCTTAATTATTAATTGTGTGTGCATACCATAATAAAATTAAGATGTAATTTTTACTACAACGTAGGTATTGTGTCTGAAAAAGTGGAGTTTGGGGGTCGGGCCAGTCTCTATTGGAATTAATCCCATATGTTCTGTTGTTCACTTTACGCGGTTTTCACTTTCCGCGGTACCCCATGGGTTTAATTGACCGCGTAAATCGGGGTACTACTGTAATAATAATAATAATAATAATAATAATAATAATAATAATAACAATAATAATAAAGAACCACAAAGAAATACAAAATGAAAAAAAAAATCAAAAGTGAGGAACAATATACTGTATGTATGTTGTGTTGTCAATAGTAAGAGAAACAATTGAGACCCTGCAATTGTGTGTAAATGAGGCAGAAAGTCAGATCAGCAACCTGGGACTTGGTCACAATTTTCGTGATGCCATGTGGCAGCAAGATCTACCATAGACAACACATTATGCTTCCAATATCTTCCCAGGCGGTAGTACCTCCCTGTTTGGTAGCTGCCTAATACCTACTACCTATAATACAGTACTGTACATAAAAAAATACATTAACCCAGATACTGTACAAAAAGTAGTTCTATATTATATAAACAGTTCCCTCCTGGTTGTCTGGCTGGTCAGCTGTTCACACTATACAGTGTATGTAAACAGAGCACCAGGCAGTGGTTACTCATCCATAAGAGCTGCAGAGCTGCACTCCCTGTCACACTGCCAGGAGTATGATTCATCTACACATGAAGGTGAATTATACACTAACAACTAATATTTCATAACGAATTAGTTTGAATGCTGTTTTCATTACATATTTACTACATTTGCTGGAGCCCAACCCTGCTTTTTGTAGGAGTTTAAAGTCCACAAGCTCCATGGTTATTTTATCACAATAGGGTTTACTGCACAAAAGGTTTTTAACACAAACTGTTATGACTGTAAACATTGGAGGAAAATTGGTTGATATAACAGTCATATTACTACATAATTCCTATTCAAATAGATGAAATAGGAGCAAAATTTGTCACTCACAAGCCCTTTCCTACTGCTTAACAAGGTAGCCAACTATTTGCTGCTATTCATTCTCTGTAACTACTGTGGCAGATACATTCTGATATGGTGTTTCCCATTCACAACAGGGTCCCAAAATATTATATTCTCGAGCCTTGTACCAACCTGGATAATGTCACGCAGAACTTGCAATTTCTTTTTGAAAGCTGCTCTGGTGAGTGTGGCTGTCATCTGATGTGGTAAATCCTTCATAAGTACCACAACTTCCAGGCCTGTTTCATTTAATATTTCTTGCATCATGAATTCCTGCAAAATCATAAGTTATTTCATATCACAGGAAATATTAAAACAGTTTTGTCTTAATTTAATTGTGATCACATTTTCTATATTCTGATTATTTAGAGATGCAATGAAGGGACAAGGAGTGCTCAACTGTAAATTATTCTAAGAACTTAACTTCAAGTACATTCATAATTTCATCAAAGTTATATTTCAAACAGGACTTTCAAGTTCACTGATTTAACTATATCTAGAGAGAGACTCAGACATCCAAACACATCTCATCACAAACTTTATTATTTGATACCGAGTTAAAAAAATGACACAGAAAAGAATGTCTTCAGATGTGCATAAATTTCCTGATTAAACATTGTAACATGTCCTGATAGTTGAAATGATATTTCCAACTGCATTATAGTACTCATGGACCTTAATCCTATGCAAAAAATTTAACTGTATTTGAAGAATGGGAAATTCGTGATACAGTACATACCTACTGGTACATTTGGGTCATTGGCCATGGATGGCACTTTAATTTTATCTCCCAACTTGTGTCAAGTGAATGTTTCTTTAGTACATACCAAATATACACGCCCATTCCCATTCTGGTTGGCCCACAACACATTATAAAAATCCATTATGACAACAAATACAGTAGCCATGGGTTATTTCACGAGATAGGGATTGAGAACATTCATAAATTGACTAAAGTAATTGTGATATACAGTCAACCCTCGCTTTACGCGGTCCCACTTTACGCGTTTCCACTTTTACGCAGTACCCTGCCGAACACGGAATACTCACTTTCCGCGGCGTGTGTACCCTTTTACGCGGAGAGCGGCGCGAGCAGGGTGCGCACAAGGTCGCCCAGTCATCAAAACATTACCGAGTTCTTCACCCGCCACCCACCACAGCCGGCCCAAGTCAGTGATAGTGATAATGATAGTGAGGATATGGACTTATATGGACTTTGAGAGGTTTGACAAAGAGGCCCTGCAAGCCTCTGTGGTGGATAGTGATACAATTGATACAAGTGATACAGGTGAGGGCCAATAATCTGCCCTCTGCCTCGGAACCAACCCCCCATCCCCGTGTGCCCAGCCATCTTTTCTACTAAAGTAAGTGTTAAAAAACCTAATATTATTGATATTTCTCTTAATTATTAATTGTGTGTGCATACCATCATAAAATTAAGTAGTTATTTTCACTACAACGTAGGTATTGTGTCTGAAAAAGTGGAGTTTGGGGGTCGGCCCGGTCTGTATTTCAATTAATCCCATATGTTATGTTGTTCACTTTACGCGTTTCTCACTTTACGCGGGCCGCCGTGGGTTCAATTGACCGCGTAAAGTGAGGGTTTACTATATATATATATATATATATATATATATATATATATATATATATATATATATATATATATATATATATATATATATATATATATATATATATATATATATATATATATATATATATATATATATATATATATATATATACATATATATATATACACACCCACCTCTCGTTTTACTCGGGGGTTAGGTTCTTGAATATCACCGCTTAATTAAAAAGCGCGTAAATTAAACATAATTTTCCCATAAGAATACATGTACAGTATATGGTACAGGTTAGGGGAACCATCATATGCTGCACAGGGTACGAACAGTGCTCTCACTTAAACCAAGCACTCGGCCAACCTCCGACGGGTCATCACATTTAATTTCATGCCCATTGCGATTGTTTTTCGTACCTTTTTAGCTATAGGCGCCCCAGAGGAGGCAGATGGACTTTTCCAGACATGCTCAATGGGAAAAACAGCGTTTAACACTAAAAACACACAATGCAAATGAGAGCACAGAGTAAAAGTAGTGCTGGAGTGAACTGAGAAAGTGATACGCGGGAAGCTTGCTGGACGTCGTCACAGTTGCTGTACAGAATACTTCACTATCATCATTATCTTCATCATTAGTAGTAATAATCTTTACTATTACATTATAATAATAATTATTATTATTACTAATAATAATATTAAAATTTTTGATGTTGATATGACTGCAACTTTATAGTAACAACTTACAAGCACCTCACCAGGCATCACACGCGACTCCACAGCCAGGCGACCAGGTGAATACGCGCGGCAAATTTAAACTGTCTTGAGTGCGTTATTTAAAAAATAGGAGCGCATAAATTAGCTTTTGGTATTAATTGAATAATCGTGTTATTCCAAAAACGCTTAAATCAAACGTGCGTAAAATGCGAGTTACCTGTTTACCAATATAAAAAATTCAGTAAAAAATAAGGAGTTAGGGACTGCAGGCCCAAAGAATTCAGGAAACAATGCTTACAAGGTTTATTCAGTTAGTAAACACTTGCAAGAAATGTAAAGCATCCAAGTTCGTCATGGGGGAAAAGAAAGTGATACATATTTTGTATCTAAATTTAGAAATATACAGTACTTACATATGGCTTTTTTAGTTTCTTACAGATCTGATTGGCTTCTTTTATTCTCAAACTGAGTATTGGAAGGGTGACATTGGTGGTCTCTTTTCTCACTTCTTGGACTGATTCATTGAAGATTGCTTCAACCTGTAAAAGTCAATCAATGAAAGATACACTCAAGTCTTCAGAAAAAAGGAAGATGTATGAGATCCTCCAAATACTAAAGCCACAAGCACCATGTCCTCCAAACATCTAATACACATGTACCTGGTCCTCCACATACATACAACTGTATCAGTTGAGACTTAATTTCAAGTCATTTCAAGTAGAATTTATGAAAGTAATGCAGTACAGTAAGGAAAAATGTACAGTTTTGCTTGAAGCCACAAATTACTTGAGTAAAACAGCTTACTTTGTGTTAATAACATGCTTAACACACAAATTACACAATCATTAAAGCAAAAACATTTTTAAAGAAAACTACACTTGTCTGGTATGCTTATGGGTACAGTAGCTGGAAAATACAGTATGTAGTGAAGAAAAAGTATTTAGGAGTTCTGTTGTTGTTTCTACACAAAACAAGTAACCCAGTTGCATTGGTGAAAACAGACTAGCTAGTGATCCTTTCATAGATGCTTAAAGAAATGCCACCTGGAGTAGTGAAGATTCAGCGAGGAGAATTTAATTAAGCATCCTAATTATCCGGTATCTGATTGGTTATTTTTTTTAATGGCCGGATAGTAAAATCAGCTATCCAGTGTACCACTACTTTTTTGGTCAGTTGATATCAGGTTGTGAGAAATTAGGATATTTTGGTCTATTTCAAAAATCTGTATTTAACCTTCCTTACTTAAGTCAGTTACAACACTTTGATCCTAGTATTTGCATCAAAGCGAAGTTTTACAGTTGAATAATGCCAGTTATTACTCTCATTAATGTCACAATTAAGTGGTCCTTTTTTACATTTAACATGAATTCTCATAGTTAATGATAAAGAATTAGTGTTATGCAGTGCACATGTTGATACTAAGTAGATTTTGATGGATTTGAAATGTTAATAAACTGTAATTGACAGCTGTAACATTAAATAAAATAAGCTGAAGTTTAATATCAACACTATGATACTGTGTGGACTTAACCAGAACACCTTATACCAGTGATGGGCAACCTGTGATCCATCAAGGTTCTGAGTGCAGCCCACAAGATTTCTGATGAATGTTGTCTTTGAGTACATAAATATTATAGAAAAGAGTTGCACTTGGTGAGGTAACAAAATATTAAATATTTATTTTTCATTACTGTATTATGAATTGTTAACATTTTGAATTACTATACAGTACTTTCATTGCTACTCATATGTTATTTTTTTATATACAGTAATTGATTTAAGAATTAACTTATCCAATGCTTTTACAAATAGATTTTTTAAATATGGCAATAGGGGAGGTGGTGAGTCATGCACTCAAGTTCTGGCTTCAGTTTCAGTGTGTTACAGGTCATCTTATTCTACATGCAATAAAATATTAGAAATGTATTGATATTTATTCTGGTTCTTGTATATGGATTATGATAAAAATTTCAAGGATGTGGCCCACTAAGTTGAGGAGGATCACTCATGTGGCCCACTAACCAACTTGGGTTACCCATCACCCCTTAAAGATAGAGGTGATGCAATTACAGTATCTCCAATAAATGCTAAAGTAGGAGGCACAAACAGTGAGACCATCTGCTCAATGAAGGGACCAGTTTGGATTAAATTAAATTAAATGCCTGAAAACCATGATGGCTGACCTAAACTGATATGACATTATGCATCTGCTGGGCCTTCTTCCTGTTCTTTACTGAATGGAAAACTTTTGCTTCTACCCTCCCTCTCTGGGCAACATCTGCAGTAGGGAAGGTCAGACTAGCCATATGACTAGTTTGGATCACCACTGTCAGATCTTTGATTTTAATGAGAGCATTACACAAATACTCTGATGAAGGGTATCTGAACATAGACACGAATACAGTATTAATTTTCTTTGAGCAAGTAAATTTGAATCTTACCTCTTGTAGGATATTTGAATGTAGTAATGTTGTAGACTGAAGAGAGAGGTCAAGGGGTTGAGAATTTTTTCTGTCCCTCAAGATCTGCTCCTCCAGGAGGCGTTTTTCTGCCTCCAGTTTCCACTGTGTTCCTTCAAGCTCACACACTAGTTGCTGCTTGTTCATCTAGTCAAAAATATAAGAAAAAACTAATTATATCTCAGCAACAATGCTGATGAGATGGCAATGAAAAGTTTAAAAGAACCAGAATTAATAGTTGCAAGTAAGTAGTACCTGTACAAGAAGTTTCTCACCATACAGTATTTTCCCATTAATAAAAATACACATACAAATCTTCTAAAATGAATATCCCCACTGATACATAATCTGTGATGATGGCAAGTACCGTAGTGCCCAATTCTTATGTAAATTCAATTCCTAAAATGGCCCCAAAATATAACACATGATTCAAAAATTCAAATTGCACGCCCTCATGAGTCAGCTAGGGCAGCCACTATTAGAGTACAGTACTGTACACAGAAGTTATTCATTATTCTACAACTGGTATACACTGTAGTATTTTAACTCTACAATTACTAGTATACTTGTACAGAGTAGTCTTACAACAACTTCAACTTGAATAGATGCAAGTCCTTTAACTCAAAATACAGTGAGGACAAGAGTCCTGTAACTCAAGAGCTAATGCAGACAGAACTTCAAAAAAAATTGCAAAAAAAAAAATCTTACCAGCTGATTCCTTGCTTCCTGTATGTCATTCATCAGTCTGTCTCGCTGATGGCACATTTCTTGCTCCATTTCAGCTTTACTTGAAGCAATAACCATCTCTGCTTCTCTCTGCAACCTGAAATTACATAAAATTCTAGATATTTTCATATTCAATAAGTCCGCGCTTAACGTCGTCCTGCTTAGCGTTATTTCGGTACTATGTCGTGCGATATTGTCTACCTTTGACTTACCTCGCCTACCCACTGCCTCTCATCCAGGGGTTGATCCCATTATTACAAGACATAAATGTGTTCATTTACTTAAATAAACACTAAGTATTGAACAATGTGTTCACCAGTACCCATATATATATATATATATATATATATATATATAGTAAACCCTCACTTTACGCGGTCAATTGAACCCACGGCGGCCCGCGTAAAGTGAGAAACGCGTAAAGTGAACAACATAACATAACATAGGAAAGTGTAGTGACTTTAGGAACAGTTAGTGGTCTATTTTCAGGACCACATCCTGAGAACTAAGTGGGATGGCTACTGTATTGTACCTTGCTTCATGTCTGTGTAGGGACTATAAATATTTTTAATGTTCAGGTGACTTTAAATGTCAAGAAAGGTATGAGACTGCTCAAATGCAATTCCATGCATTATCTTATCTAGGAAAAACCTTATCGTGTCTCATTACAACTGAATTTATAAAAAGATAAATTATGCTTTTACATTTGTGTACTGTACAGACAAACAGACCATAGATATTCAGGTAATCCTGGATACAATCTTTGTAGTCTCATCATTTTCACTTTAGCTCCTTCACTACAGGGATGCCACTTTTAAAATTTTATTTGGATAACACCCGATTATTTTATTCAGCAGAGAGAGGACCCCATACAAAAGCAGTTAAGAAGAAATATATTTCTGACTCATATTGTACCTCTTTTCTTGTTCCTTTAAAAGTTCCTCTTTTGTAAAGTAAAAGTCCATATTCTTTGAGGTCTGCAGGCTGGAATCTTTGCTGCTATTCATCCGGAAGTAGTAAATACCAGCTAGTACAAGCCGGTCATTGTGATGCAGCTGGAAAGAAAATTTGTGTGTTTAGGATCATAACTGAACAATCCTTCCCCTTACAACTGATACTCTGAACAGTTTCTTACAAGGAAGCCTAACAGTGGCAAAGCTAAGGGGGTGTAATCACTTCCCTCCCTCAAGTCTCAGAAAATATTTTAACAGAAAATTTGATGTATGAATGAAAGGCCTATTGCAAGATGGTATCAAAATTGCAGGATCAACACACCCTTACTACAAGCAAGGAAATAAAAATGTGTGACTTCTGATCAAAAGAGATTTCCTCAGTTGAGAAATGGAACATGAGTAAAAAAAATTGCAGGCACTGCTGAACACCTGGGAATTTGGTGAAGGAGAGGCTGTACCAAGGACCATGTGGACTTTCTGACCATCATCATCAAATAGGAGATGAAAGGTCAATTTGACAGCATTGTTACACTGTAATTGCATTGACCTTGCCTGTTTCTTCTGCTCACAATGAAGAGGGTTTTCAGATGTTTGAAGAAAGTCAAGACCTACTTATGGAGTACTCTGAGTGAAAAGTGACCATCAAATTTGGCTAATACCTGAATTAACTGCAATGTTGTTACAAACCTATATGTAGGGGAAATTCATTTTTTTTTCTGAAGGAGAAAGCAAGGAAAATTATTCAATGAAAGACTACATTTTCCTCATAACAAGTCTACTGATGAAATAAATAATACAGTACAATATATATAAAATACAGTAATAATGAAAAATCTATAACTTACTTTTTGAGGAGAGGTGACTAATTTGCCATTGACATATGTATCTGTGTTTATCTTGGGATGTAGCTGTAGGTGACCACTGTCATTTAATATGGAACTGGAATAAATTTGAACCACTGTTACAGACTGAAGTTACATATAGGATTTAGCTTTTGTTAATGGTATAATTCAGTGATAAAATCAAAAGAGAATGGATTCAAATATGATACCCTTCTCTTCTGTATTGTCTAGATCAGGGCTTCTTAACCTGTGGTCTATGAATCATTTCTTTGCAGAAAATTTAAATCACAATAAACATTACCTGTACAGTACAACATACAGTAGTTCTAAAATTAATAAAAACATAAATATTGTTTTTATTTCTATTACTGACACACACACACATACATGTATAAACCCTTGAAATCGTATCTCAGAAAACCAAACATTTTCTTCCCTGGATTGGGTAAAAAAAAATTCCCTCACTATGTCAAGTTCTGGTTCCATACACAAACTCAGTTAAATGTTTGATTTACTCCTTAAATAATAAAATAAATAAATTATTATTGCATACTTACATTTAATGTAGTCCATTTAGAACCTGAGAGGTCCCCAAACAAAATTATTAAATTATGACCTAGCAACAGCATTATAAATTAGCCAAAATCCTTGGTGTGTCATAAAAAGGGCAAGCCTGTAGACATTCACTGTACAGTACATGGTGTTTGGCTAGAAACCGAAACAAAGATGGCACACTGGACCAAATAGAATGGTGAAGCTAAAGCTTCTGGTGTGACGTGTACTGATTGGTCAGACTCAACAGTAATAGTAAGACCTCCTGTCTCTTGGGGTCACTTGTTGCAACCACACCCTCGCCCTGATGTAGAGGTGCGGGGAAAAATATATTGGTCTCCAAGGACACAGAGGGCCTAATTCCCAGCTCATATTACGAGAAGCTACCTGGTGGATGGCTTATACCAGGTATGTTTTTTCAACTGTCTCAAAGTGTTCATAATAAGCCAAATTTTCAAATGAAGTAGTCAAAATTGAGATTTCTGTAATCATAAAATTCAAATCACAAAACTTAGTTAACTAAAGCCTAAACTAATTACACAAAACTTAATATGATCTTAAAATTATTGTTACTGGATGGTGAAAAGGTGGCTTACCAATGAACACTGTCTGTGTGGAGTCCACGGAGAGTCAGGTCACAATCGGAGTGTCCAATTGTAGTGGTTCCATTCTTAAGTCTATATGACAGTGTCTCAGAAAGTTGTGGATCTTCACTCAAATTGATAAGTACGGGACCTGTCTCCTTCTGTTATTAAAGTAAAGGAAAAAATAAAAGAATAAGTATCATAGGATTGAGTAAGTGAATAATGAATGTTAAGTGGCAATAGAGAATATATCTCTCAGCCCTTTTTTGTCAAAACATTATTTTACAGGAGACAAATAATTTATTTCTCTGGGAGTCAAGACCCTGCCTTGCCAGCAAAGACAGTGTCTGGAAGTCCTACATATCATGCTTAGTTCCCACTCTGTAATAATAGGATGGCAATAGGAAGGGCATCTATCCATAAAATTTGCCCATATTATTTGTCAGATGACAGCTGGGAGAGGGGCTGCAAGAGACCACACAACTTGGAAAGCTGCCATCAGGTAAATACGACTAACCCACGCAAGTGTGGAAAATGGCTGTAAAATGGTGGTAATGAACATATTACATTGTACAGTATTGACTTGGAATAGAATTAAATTTATATGAATAACTTACATTTATATTAAATATTCACAAAACCAAGTTATAGAGAACAGCTAAAATACTGTACACTGTATGTATGAATAATCAAAACTTTAAATAATGTGAACCATTATATAAAGATTAACATTGAAATTACACAAAATGACTCCCTGGGTCAAGAGGAATAGGATCTCAGAGAAAATATAATTACAGGTAAACAGAAATATCAATAGAGCTGGGATTAAGTAATTAATCTTTGTATTTTGTAAAGAACAAATGAATGGAGGTTTTTGTTACATCTCCATTCAGAGAGGAGGTGGTGTGAACAATGGCAATTAAGTTGATATACTGAACTATGTATTAATAGAGCAACAACAAAGGAAATGATAAAATATAGAATCAAACTAAAGATTGGGGTGAAGAGATTAATAATTCCCTTAAGACTAACCAAGTACACTTTCACCAAAAAACTTCTTGAATGCTATAAGCACCATACAATCTGAGAAATGAATGGAGAATTTGAAACCATTCCAAGAAGACAAGCCCCATTCTGCTCATTCTCACATCCATTGTGCCCAAGTTTTTGAGAAGTTTTTGTTGAGTGTATAAATAGTACATCAGTACTTTTTTGACATACAGTATTCCCATTCATAGCTAGATTAACACATTTAACTTTATGATACTGTCACCACACTGGAATTTAAATGCCTCCACTTTCTATCTGAAATTGCGCTTGTACAGTACTTATATTTTTTAATGTAAGTTCTGAATCAGAATCCAATACTGTACTGTACTTTGAATGTACAAAGACCAAATTATGGTAAATCCTTATAAAAAATTGAATACAGTATGGATAAATTTGCACTATATTTGTGAGTGACAATACTGTACACTAGACACAGCCATTGCAATATTTTACAGAAACATGTTTCAAAGCTTACCTCATTTGCAATACCAAGGCGACGAAGGCTTTCCAAGGCTTGTTGCCGCTGAGCTTCTGCTTCTGTGAGGCGCCTCTCCAGACTTCTGTTAAAATTAATTACCAAAATGGTTTGAATAATATATAAAAATTCATTATAAATGTCTCTTCATTCAGAAAAACAATTCCTAGTATGATAAAGGATGACTTGGAAACATGAGTGTATCATCTTCTATATTCAACTAACCCTTTGAATGAATTTTTAGAAACATGTTTTGCCATTTAAAGTAGGAAAGAAGAGTACATAACATCACATCACCTCATCCATCATTTGATGGTTACAACCTGTGATGTTGGGATCAACTCTAGCTCACATTTAGTCACCTTACAGGGTGTACCTGATTGTGTCTTGGCAATATATGTACCAGGCACCAGCTAAGTGTGGTTAAGTGCAATTCATATCTGTTTTGACACCCGTAAAGTTAATTTCAGCTGGTAATATAATCATAGCATTTACTATAAAGATAGGATGCTTAATCCCTTTTATCCTTCATGATGCAATAACTGTTTGTTAAGTGATCCACATCAAATCTTCACTACCAAGTCAGTTTATGGGACCAACTCAAACCATGTTGTGAACTAATTTCATAGAAAGCACTTCTCCATGTCTGGCAAGGACAGACTTAACCAGATAGAGATAACTGATCCATTCTTGAGCAGTACGGGAGTGTTCTCTTGTTACCCGATTCTTTTCCTATACAGCAGATTGTACAGCAGCCGACTTCAGTGGAGCCTTTAAGAAACAGCTAAAGACCTTTCTTCTTTTTGAAAGCTTATGATCTCAAAGAGCATATGGTGATGGAGAATTACAGGGTCTAGGAAGTGTTACAACATGAGGATATACAAACTCACTTTTTGAGATTATCTTAGCTTTTTTTCTTCTTCTTCTTTATTGTCAGGTCCTTGACTTTGTAGTATTTCAAGCACTTGTGAATTCTTTTGAAAAACTAACACTTTTGAGAAACAAGAGGTCAGCCATTATCAGTACTACCGGTTTAGAGGTTTGAAATTGGGTTCAGGAGTTCAAAATTGGATAACTGGTGTTCAGTGTAAGGGACACCCCTGCATACATTACCATAAAAGTGTTATTATGAACATTTTAATTTTTTGTAATTGAAATGATCAACACCATTATCATCAAAATTTTATGACCTTTTTCCACACACTCATGGGTTAGTCATGATTACCAGGTGAGAGCTCTCTACCTGCATGCTCTCTTGCAATTTCCCTCCATGTCATATGAGGCACATTCACTGGTGGAATTGTTTTGGGTTGTTTAAATGAGATTAAACAAGTCTTTGGACTCAATTTCTATCTGACAGAATTATGACCCCCCACACAGTGTTCATTAAAAAATATTGGGCATAATGCTGAGAGGATACCACAAGTCCTAAAACAAGGTTAACAGTTCATGGGAATAGTTCAGTTCAAATAAACCCTTTCTAATCTACGTTGCTGGATAATAAACATTCAGAATCTGCTCTACATACTAGAGTTCATTCTGGGAACAGGTTTCAGATAAGTTTGCTTTTTAACACCATCTCAGCTGTTTTAAGAATGACACGACTGAGATTGTGATTCCATATACGTGCTTTTTTCCAAAGAAGAAGAGCTCAACACTAGGGTAAAATCAAGTCTAAGTCCTCAGAGAGAGGAAGGTACAACAAGCAAAGATCTTCCAGTGGAATAATGCCAATCTTTATCCAGTTCCTTGATCTTGGGATCCTTGGTACGATTAGGTTATAAAGTTTTAACGTGAAATATGGGAAGTGCACCTCATCATTCTGAACTGAACCAAAAGGAATCCAAGATTTTAGAAGATTACATGTACAGTCCCCTTCACTAGTATGTTTACATGGGCTCATCAGGTTTTGTGCAGTGTGGCAGCCCTGTGTTTGTTTAGATTCGACAGAAGGAAACTCGCAATTGTACATATACTATGGAATCAAAGTAAAACAATATCTCACTGTAATGATTTGTGGAATGTATTTATGACAAGCCCCTGTAAATGCACTAGTGAAGGGGACTGTACATAATATTGATTAAGAACATAGATTCTGAGGTCCACCTCCAGCTATTTCATGCCAAGATTATTTCTTGTACCAAAAGCCACAGGAGGCTGGTGGGTGACTCCTTACCTATGTGGATGAACCAATGCATATCAAGGGTAAAGTTCAGAAAGATCATTATTTACCAGATATGTTGGAGTCTAAGTGATGTCCTTTGGACAAAGTCATTAAAGAAACTAGACTTAATGGACACGTGTTGGCATGCTCCTGTTCACAAAAGGTTTAAGATATTCCTTGCCTTCAGAGAGTTAAACAATTGTTTTAGTCCAAGGTCCTTCCCTAAAGCTTAAATATATACTGTACCTTAAGATGGACTCAATCTTGAACTAGGCCATGCCACTAATGTTGAGGGGTTGCTTAAATTTTAATTCATTCTGTCACAATGATAATCAACTGTGTCATGATCAAGCAGGTTTCATCAGTCATGTAAGCAAGCAAAAATTCTCACTTCAATGACTGTCGTTCATTCTTTTTAACTGCGGAAACATGTTTTCGCTTTTGTTTTTTCACTCGAAAACAAAGGTACAAGATATCCTTACCTATTATTTTGGATAAGAAGCTGTTTGCACTGCAGCTGCTGGCACCGCAGTTTTTCTTGCAGTATAGCTATTTCTTCTTCCTTTTCTTTGATTGCCTGGTTCTTCTCCTCTTCTTTTTGAATGATGGCATTTTCTCTCTCCATGAGAGCCTTTTCTTTCTCTATTCCATCCTCCTCATGAACAACTTCTTCATCTTCCATAGATTCTCCTTCAAACAGCAAAGAAGGGCTCCGTCTTATATGCTGGAGGCGAAGGCGTTCTACCTCCTCTTTCAAAGATCTTAAAATAATTTGAAAATAAGAATTTGTATAAACCCTTCATTAGCTTTTTTGCCTGAAAGTCCTTTATATATTAACCAAAACACCTTCCACAAAGAAACTTTGTGACAAACTCTACCAAAATTTAAGATGGTGTGTTATTTTATTAAATTCCAAGAGTGTAAATTCAGAAGTAAAGTGTGTGGGGGATAAGACACAATACACATTTCTTGTTCCTTGTAATACTTGCACTCATATCTATAGAGAAATTATTATTGGTTTTCCTCTCTTTTGACAAGCATTCACTTTGCCTGCACCCACTCCAAGTAATATACCTGAAGTGGGTTTAGTAAGAAGTAAACACAGCCTTGATATTTTTATGTGTATTTTTTATGGTGTCACCCAGGTGGCAAGCTAGTGTTGCTAGACACTACCATCTCTACTATCCTGGTTCCTTCAATGTTAACATCTATATAAAGTTAAACAGTATTATAAGATACTGCATATCATTAAAGATGGACTCGAGGAGAGAACAGCACAATTCACTAGTGTTAGTTTCTACATCATATCAGTTAAATTGACCCATTTCATAAGGTAATCTCAATATAGCCAGAGCAACAGAGCACTATTTTTAGGCCATTATTGTATAATTTTTGGGGGAAAAATATGCATGAAATATTTGATCTTATAAACTTGAAGACATAAAACAATGTCAAATTTTGTAGTCTCAATTCAAGAGTCCCTGTGTCAAAGCTCAAGGGTGCCATTAAATACACTCCCACACCATTATTTAAAGAAAAAAATACAATAAAGAATCTTTTAAAAATCATTAACTTCCTTAATATTTATAGAATCCATTCACCCATCTTATACCAATGCATTCTTTAAAGGTACATAACTTTTTTCATCTACAGTACAGTATTTGATTTTTTCCAACACTTGCAGTTGGATTTTCTTCATTCTTGTTAGCTGCCTTTCACTACAGAGCAGGGTGACTGATATCAGCAGGAAAATGGGCCCTCCATTCATCTGTTATGTATTATTCATTCACTGTAATTGCTAAAAAATGTGTTCTGTTATGATGTTCCACTTCTTTTCTCACATGCACAGACACACACGTTCACCATTAACTTACCTGATAATCATAGCTGTGGGATCTTCATTGATGTAGTTGTGGTTAACTATCATACGAGCTTGCTGTGCATAGCGAAGGGTTGACAGAGTTTCCTCCAAATAAACATTACAAGGGGAGACTGTGGCAATCATTGCAGTCCGAGAGTTACCTCCCAGAGACTCCTAGAAGAAAATTTTATTAATAATTTCATAAACCCAAATGAATGAATATAAAAGTTTGCAGATGAAAGATAGGGAGACCACAAGGGGTTTAAAGATGATAGATCAGTGTTACAAATGGCAGCATATATTATACAAAATGAAAACAAATATATTTTAAGGTCTCATTTAACTCTTTGGATGTAATGGTTACATTGGTGTGACTTCAGCTCGTAATATCCTTAGGTGCAACCGTCACAGTAGTACTATGGTTGTCAACGATCCGGACGGTAAATAATAACTCATACTAAATTATTCAGACCTGTAATAAACCTTTACCTTTAATAAATATGTCAGTACTGACTCCCTGTAAGGAATGAATGGCCTTCGTCGTCCTTCACTCTCTGCAAGGGCTGTGATCACCTTCCCGAGGGTTAAAAGTGATTTGTTTATGCAAACCCCTTCCTGCGGAATAGAATTTAATGTTTAACTTGAATCCCCTTAAATACCAGTTATAAAAACATGCACACCACCTCCCCCAACACTTATTACCATCTCAGGCATCACCACGTCCCTCGCCATTATAGACTGGCGTGCGATATTCCTCTACCTCTTATTTACTTCACCTACCCACTGCCTCTCATCCAGGAGTTGTTGCCATAATCATATGACATAAATACTTGTTAATTTAGTTAAATAAATATTTAAGTATGTACTGAACAATTTGTTCACCAGTACCCAAATGAAGCATTCATGTCACCCATAAGTAAATGTAATGAGGACTTTAGGAACACATCTCCATATATATATATATATATATATATATATATATATATATATATATATATATATATATATATATATATATATATATATATATATATATATATATATATATATATATATATATATATATATATATATATATATATATATATATATATATATATATATATATATATATATATATATATATATATATGATGGTATAATGACCCCCTTTACCACTGATTCAGTTAGTGATCTCTTCTCCAGAAAGCAGGGTATTGCTGAAATTTTAATCAATTTACCAAGCTATCAAAAACACATCATACATACACATAAAACAGGCATTTTACAAATTACGCTTAACAGTAATATTATAAAGTCTAAGTAAAAATCTACTATTGGAGATAAAGAGCAAAATATAAACACAATATAACATATACATACCTTGAGTCTGTCTCCCTGTGACTGTGCAGCTGCCACACGTTCACTCCCTGCCAGGTCCACCAGATTTATGATGCTCACCTTGCTACTCTCCAAGTGCTCACCTTCAACATCTTCCACCTGTGAAACACCCAGAGACTGCATCATGTATATGAAAAAGTAAACAAGATGTTTACCTGAAGCACATGACCATTAGCTGAAACACTCCCTCTTTGCCCCTATTTACATACACCCACCTGGGCTGAATCAATTCTACATATCTTTCAGTTACTTTTTCTTTCTTCAGCTCATCAATTTGTAAAACCACCACCTCACTTCCTAGAACCTCCTACACCCTGAACCTTCCAATCACTACTAATCTAGCTTCTTCCTTGTAGGCCTAATGGTTAGAAAATGTATGATGCTCCTCACAGTACAATCACATCAATCAACTATTTAACTTAAAATTCATCCCGTTATCCATCAACACAGTTAACAATCCTTTATCGTTATCATTATCCTGCCTCCATGCCTACTTGTGAATTTTTCTTTCTGGCCCATGTTTCCCCACCATCAACCCTCTCACACCACACATATCTGTCAGCCTCTCCATTTTTATTCCCTCCCAGCAATCCATTTTCCTCTCACCAAATCTTGTAGTTAAATCACATGTCACAATCACTCTTATCTCCTAAATTAAAGCATTAAATACAATTACTGAGGTCTTCCTAGAGTCCCTCTCTTTTCTCTTCTCTCTTTTTTTTCATTACTTTCAGTGTGATCTATAATATTCCCTGTGGCTCAACCCCTTTTATTCAATCAAACATATCCACATTTCAATACTTAATACTACCATGTCTTCTTTCACTATTGCTTTCTCAGACACTCAACTCTTCACTTGTCCCTAACTTGCTTCTCCTTTACCTTTCATGTTCCTTTCACTCGTCACATTTTCATATTCTCTATTTACACCCAAACACATTCAAACATCGTATTCTCATTTGCTTTTGTTTCTTTTAGTAACTAAATACACAGAGGCAGGGAGCTACAAGACCAACACCCCTATATTAGGAATTATGAACCAAATCACTTGGGTTCATTTGCCCTGGGGGGGGGGGGGACTTTATGATTGAAAATGTCAACATTACAGTGAAACAGATAACTCCATACCTGCATCTGAGTGAGTTTGATGGTGAAGACAGCGTGAGAGCGAGAAGATTTGTCATTCACCCCAGTGGCAGCGATGGAGCGCTCTTTATTTCCTAGCATAAGCCATGTCTGTTACAAATATTGCAAAAAAAAAATTGCTCTATTATACCAATGAAAACATTAGTTAATGGTGCGAGAATGGTTGGAAACATGGCTGTAGGAAGAAGACTGAAAACAAGATGGTTAAACTAAGCATACTGTACTTGGTGACTGGGTTATGTCCTGAGATGACACAAATGATAATGGTCTACATATGATGGTGGATCTAGTACAGTGCAGAAGTATCATGTGTGACAGTGTAAACATAATGAACCTGATGACTCAACAAACAGTGAGTGAACTGATATGAAGCACACTGAAATAATAAGAGTGCTAAGGGCTCACTTTACACTGTGCAGAAAAGTTGAGGATGTAGGCCTTAGGCCGCGGCCGCACTGAAAGCAGGCATGCGTTGTTGCCAGATCGCGCCCTCTGCCAGTGCGGCCACATCTATGGGTTACGATGCTGCAAAGTCTTCAGCGCCCACCCGCTTTCAGTGCAGCCGCGGCCTAACATCTTCAACTTACATTGTAAGGGTTTACAGTATTTATAGTCTTAGTACATCCCTCTCACTTCATTCTTGCTTATTATTTATTCCCTGCCTATCTTTGAAGTTTCTGTAACCTTTAATCTACTTCCCATGAAGGTGGGAGATGAGTAGTGTTAGTATACAGTACAGACCCCAAATTTTGGAGAAAAAGGAGGAAGGGGGCAACTAATGCGCTCACCATAGGTGCACATGCACTCTAAGGGGGTCCAAAGACATGCTCCCCCAGAAATGTCTTGAAAAATTGGAGTATTTTCCTGCAATCTGGGACATCTAAAGTGTGGTTATCAGCTGGTTATCTGTCGTAAGCAAAATTGAAAAGAGTATTCACGATTACAAGTGGACACTTAAGTGGACTACGTTATGATGCTAGTTAGTATACAGTACAAAACTAATAAAGGGGTGGGGTAGAGTTTTTAAGGGGTAGAGATGCACACCCTTCTGGTTTCTGTAAGCTATTTTATATATTTTAAAGCTGATACTGTATTGTAACGAGCCACAACATTAGATTCTCTCATGACTTTTCTTTTAAGAAGCCATCCCTGGTCATATACAGTAATTAGGATTAAGGGGATTATAACAAATATTAATGATCATAGTTGAGGGTAGGAGGGCCAGGGTGGAAGCAGAGAATGTGATGGATGAATGAAATTAAAAACTGGGTCCCCAGATAAAATCTTGGAGGACTGGTAAAAACAGGCTGAAAACGTTTAGAGTGGAGGACTGTGGTTGCCAATCCTTAGATATGAGGATTTCATTGATCCATTTAATACATGAGCAGTGAAGGTGCATCAAGACAGACAAAAGCACTGATACAAAGATAAACAGATATGTGTGTGTATGTCTGCATATTAACAGGTATGGAATGACTTTGATGCATGTGTATCAAAAGAAGAAATTAAATTATAAACTATGCTTATTTTACCTGTAGGTGGTCATATGATGATACCAAATGATGAGCAACACCCTCCACATAAGGACCATCTTTTGGGTGTTCCCTCACTCTCAAAGCCTCTCGACGATCAGATCCACTCCCTCCGCTTGAGAGTAAATCATATATACGCTCATTGTAGATCTCAATGTAGCTTAATTCCACTTCAGCGCGACATTGAGGCAGCTGAAACCAACGAAAATTTCAAATATTACCCCATTAAACAATTCTTTTCTAATCATATTAAAACCCTGAAACTTCAGATGTTGAGCTCCCCTTATGACCACGACCCTCTACTACAAACACCCTCATTGGTTGCTCAAGTATTTAACAATATCATGTCAGGCAGTAAAATCATCATCAATGTTTTATGGCCATTTTCCACTCTTATGTGGGTTAGTGGCAATTACCTAAGTACCCTTGAGCAAGGCAAGCTGTGTGGGGATTTTTCTGGAGAGACACTCTTGCATTTTATATGGCATAAGGCCCATAGGATCTAAAAATGAATAAACAAATAAAAGCATTAATTACTTGATCCTCTGGTGGGTTCTGTGAGTGTAAGTAATCAGCACGACTCAGGAGGTCCCTACAAAAGCGAGGGATAATGCCGGCAGTTGCAGGCACCTCTGTCTCACAGTCATCGTAGGAATCTTCTCCTAACATCCTGGAATTTATTATCTTTTAAGTCTATTTATCTATTCATTACTTCTATTCCCTTCTTCCCTTCTCATTCATCTGTAAAGTGGGCTAAGGGATAAAGAAACCTCAGAGAGGATATGATAAGGGAGAGTAGTGCAGGACAAGTGAAGAAAGCATCAATAAGTGTTAAAACAACAAGTAGAAATATTTACATAATCCCTCTGGGGATATCTTCCTTGAAATGCAATACAGTTTATCTGATGTGTATATTTGCAATTACAGACCAGTGAAATATTCTACTTACGTGTAACTCTTCCCAGAACCAGTTTGACCATAGGCAAAGAGGCAAGTGTTGTAGCCTTCATATGCCTTTTCCAGCAGTGGCTGTGCCAGGGCATTATACACAGCTTCCTGAGAGGCATAAAGGGGGTGTTTATCATCAAGAGACCAAAAGCAATGGTCATAGGTGAAACAATGAACGGTGCCACTATCAGTGGTAAGTTTTATGTTGTTACCCACAACATCAACAACACTTCTCATTTCTGCTGATGACTGTTCTCTGAAAAAAAAAAAATTAGAACAGTATTTTCTTTATATATCAGTAACTGGGCTAAAGGGTTAAGCTGAAAGTTATAAAATATAGTTATACTATGACTCCTAATATGGAAAATGAACACGTTAAGAAAATCTTTTATCATAAGAAACAGGGTTCATGCATTATCATAACTTAAAATGTTCATGAATTTTCCAAGACACCCAAGCAAACTCTTAGAGCAAATACAGTATAAGTGTGGAATCACTTGTCCTGGTGACTGGTCCACACATTTTTTAAAGCTCTGACATACTTGTACAGTGTGTGATTGAGGTCTGGTCCTTGCTAACCACTGATAGACAAGATATGTACTGAACTGTAGTTGTTGGTGCAGCCTTATCACTAATTAACATAAAGACAAGTGTCCCTGTAAGGATGTTCTAGGAAGGGATCTCAATACTATTCATTTGATGACTAGTTTTAAGTCTATGAATTTTTGTACAAACAGGAAGAGGAGATAAAGAGGGGAAGTGAAAGGGGAGAAGGGGACTAGAAAGAGGGGGAAGAGCTGAGTATACATATATAAATAAACGAATACCTTGAGCTGAGTGGACGCACTCTCACTCCGACAGACACACTTGTTGACTCTGCACCTCCATAGCAGTTTACTATACCTGGACTTGTGGGTAACTTTACTGGGTGGTAATTGCTCACAACTTCTGGTGTCAAATTCACAAGCCCACCCTAAGGAAGAGAAGAAAAGAAGGAACAGGGAATAAGATGTGATTTTCACTTTTAATACTATTACTCTTGTTAAAGATTGTCATAAGAATTAACAGACAAGGTTAGAGGTTACATTTTGAACTGACTGATATTTGCATTCTAATTAAATGCCTTAATCATATATAACACCATTCTGCTTATAATATACAAGTATCCATTGAGGTACAAAGGTTAGCTTTAGAGGAATCCAAAAAGTCCATGATAAATCTTACATTAGTTTAAAAAAAAAAGTGGGGGGGGGGGAATGGGGAGGTATTGTATAAATTTTGTCAACCTCCAATATTTCACTTAAAAACACAGTAAAATAAATAATACACCAAGGTTCCACAGAAAGCATAACCAATGACTGAGAATTGGTTAAAGGAATTGAGTGTTTTTGGGTATAAACATTCAACTAACATACACAAGTCTCTCAATTTTATTTTTTATGTATTTTTATTAATTTTTTAAGTGTTTCTGTGCAAAAATCAGCTCGAATAACCCCCAAATTCCCTGTCAGGAGTCCATCCCCCACTTAATAACAGTTTGTCATTGATGTCACACAGTTCAGGGCAGAGCTTCTGGGCGACCATGTGGTAGTGCCGAGGAGAACACACACAAGACACTATTTGTCTGTTACCCTCGATAATAAACTCTAATAACCACTGCTACAATTTTACTTGTGTACAAAGAAATATTTATTCTCTGTGTGTGTAGACACATGACAAAAATTTGCATATTGAAAATTATAGTTGGTACACGAGTATACAATACAGGTAAAGAAAGCTGCCGTCTCTAGAACGAATGGTTCCCTGTCCCGGCCGTGAAAATGCCTGCAACTTTAAAACTATCCGCAGACATTCTTGGGTACATCCAGAGTGTCATCCGCGAATAATAAAGGACCGCAAAATAAAAATCCGCGAATTATCCAGGCGTACTGTACTGGTATAATATTAGATGCCACACAAAATCAAACCAATTAGATTATATAAATGTGATATTGTTGAAAAAAAAACATGTCATTCAGAAAACCTACAGAAGGAGGATATGATCGGTTGGAGGGTCGACTGTGGCTTGCACTTGATCTCCTTGAGCTGCTGTTTGGGGTCTGTGTACCAGAGCCAAATGAATGCTTTGAAGCTCCTGAAGATCTTCCTGAAGTTGGGGTTTTGGAATCACCAGATAGTCTACTGCTGGAAACCCTGTAAGTGATTAAACAAGACATAATAGAATGTTATTCAGAATCCAGTTTCCCCTTTCATCAAAGACTCAAAATAAGATAGGAGTACCACACTGGAAACACTGCTTTTTGTCCAATCAACAAAGTTAAGCAATATTGGGTCTGGTTAGTACCTGGATGGGTGACCACCTGGCCCTAAGAACACCAGATGCTGCTGGCATAAGGACTTTATGGGAAATAACCATCTCAGGACTTTGTCAGCTGCCCTTGGTCAAATTGACTAAATAATCAATTATTATTATTATCATCCTCTCAAAATATGGGATGAAAAATTTATCGCCTAACCAGTCTCATACCTGGTTGGGCTCCATCAAAAGAATTTTTTTTTTAATTTTTAATTCTTATTTGTTTAATTGACCATCACAGTCACAAGACACCTCAACACACAAGTCAGGTAGATATTATTTCCTTGTCCCCCATCACTTGCCTTTGGCATAATAAGAGAGAAAACATCTGTTACAAGCAAGGCACACAATATTTTCTTTGCTACAATACATTAATCCATCCCAGCATTATTTGAATAAAAAGTGTTTTAAAAAAGCTAAACAGAATACAGTATTTGTATATTGATTAATTATCTATTTTCACATGTGTAAAAATAAACTTGAATGAGTTCTTATTTAGATATTTCAATATGTTGAAGCAAAAAAGTTTTTGTTTGGAAGAAATTTTTCACAAAATACTGATGGATTATTTATCCCAATTCAACAGTTCTGTTATGAAGGGCCATAGCATAGAGAGAGAGAGAGAGAGAGAGAGAGAGAGATAAAAGGCTATAACAACAACAGCAATATTTAATTTCCAAATAAGGTATGTATAGAACAGTATACTAATACAGTAGCAAAGAAGTTAATGTAAATAAATTTCATTTGTGACCCTACAGATACACATCACAATTTTTGTGATCCACAAATCCCATTATACTCCAGCTAGTGTCATAACAAGCATAAAAATAAGAGCAATCAGCAATATTGCATAATTTAAAATATTATCACTATTGCATAACCATTACAACCAATTGAGACTGCCAGCATCAAGAGCAACATATGGTACCTCTCATATGCAATCACTCATTCTTTCCATTTGTCTTGACACATTTGCTCTGCTATAATGTACAGTACGAAAGAGGAATCTTGGCTGACCTGGTCCTTCTGAACGGAGATGGAACATTAAGAGTAGTAGAGGACAAAACTCTATTAAGGTTATCCTTTCTCCTCCCATCATCATCTTTTTTCCAACCATCAACATCCTTTGCATTTTTGGGAGGTCGCACCCATGGGCTAATATGGCTCGACTCTGTTTTCTGAGTGTCATCTTCCTGCCGAAATCTTTTTGGTAGTGACACATTAGGGGTGGGGCACTGTCTGAAATATAAATTTAATTTAACACTTTTACTTACTGGTAATACTTTTTGTTTTCATGTAATTTTTAGTCTAAACTGTTAAAAAAATAACACAACATATACAAAATTATGGGACAGTAATGTCTTTTTTACTTTTTGAGTTATATTTACCAATTTCTGAGAGATGTGCAGATAAAAACGAAAATCAAAATTTTTGGCTTGCACCTGGAATTTTTCTGTTAAAAGTAATGAATGTTAGGGGGAGGGAAGAGGAGGTGACTCCCAAATAAGAGTTAGGTGTGTGGCACTGTATACCTTAACACCTTGAAATGAAACCTGTGACTAATTTTATCAACCAACCTTGGTGTATTAGTTGCAGAAGTCTTGGAAACTGAGGACTGAAGAGGAGTGTGTTGCAGCCTTGCTGTTATACTTTTTACAGAACATGGCACAGGCGAGGGGTTAGGACAGGGTGTTGTACCCTGAGAGTCAGAAGTGCGTAATTTGTATGTTGCAGGTGTGCGGGGAGTAGTGGATACAGTATCTGACAAGTGTGCTTTGGTTGCTCTGGGTGTTAATGTTGTGGCTGCAGCAGGTGTTCGGGGTGTTACTGCACATGCTGTGTTGGATGCATTTGTAGGAGTCTTGTGGGAGATTTGCACACTCTCTATCTCATGTGGCCGCTTGTTAGGTGTGTGATGTGAAGTTTTCACCCTAGAAGAAATTTTTTTTTAGAAAAACTGTGATAATTCTGAAATGTTAATCATATTTCAATACTGAATATAAAGATGTGAAAAAATCCTTTCAATTATTCTACAGCTATGCCTTTATTTATTGTTTGGTGTAGTTAATGAATTCTTCATCTCCCCGGTAATTCAATTCAGTAATTCATAAAGTCATATCTGGCATTTTCTCCACTCTCATTCATGAAGGATGAATATATAAAACAGTTTATTCTGAAATGTTCAAGTCTAAAAATGCTGAAGTTTACTTTACCGAATTCAAAAACTTTAAGTTACGGTAATACATTCAATTAGCAATACCAAACACAAATGTAACTACCCTTATGTATAACACCGGTCAAAACAAAAGAAAACCATTACAGGGGTATTGAATTTTCAAATATCCATTTATAGGTCTGAAGTTCATACACAAAACAATATTCAAAATTAAAAGAATTCTTCCATAATAAAACATATCCGAGAGAAACTGTAAGCCATTACACTGTACTCTGCATTAACTTACTTAGTTTTAATAGTGTCTTTGAGGTCACATTTCTTGCCCTGATCCTTTTTTCCCATTTGTGATGTAATGAGCACCTTTATTTCAGTCTTTTGTTTACTCATTCTGGTGCGGTAGTCTGAAATAAAAAAAAAATAATAATAATAAAAAAAAAAATACGAAGTAGTTATCTGACCTGAATTCCCGGCCGAATAGCCATTGGCTATTCGACCGGGACTCATGGGGATTGTGTATGATTTTACTATGATTTTAATGGGATTCTGGTCAGGATGGCTGTGGGCATTACAGTACACTATTATCTATGTTTCTTGGAGTAGTTGTTACTTGAATGTTTTGTGTTATATCTAGTTGAGTTAGGTTAGTACAGTACTTAGTTTTATTTTAGAACCAGTGGTTATTTAGCCAGAAACCAGGCATAAAAATAAGCAGAAAAATAGACTGATCCTGATATCCAACTTTATGACAAATTTCTAGCAGCATGACAATGAAAGAGATCACACAATAATTCACCACCACAAAGAAACTTTGCTATTATAAAAACCCTATTTAACAGCTTTAGATGCGAATGTGCAGCAGAAAACCACACCGAGGAACAATACAACAGGAGTAATAAAAAACTATGAAAGCACATAGTGGAAATTACCAGATCCCCAAACAATCTACAGGGTATATGTCTTGCTACCATTTGTCAAATATGAGTTGCAATAAATCAAAATCTAATTTTTAATTGATAATCACTCATCAAAAATCAACTATGATTTAAGGTCAACATTGAAAATCCATCAATCCCAGATTTGTATAATTCACACGAGCATCACCAGACTGGTTTTAATACTAACTGATTTGTTTACAAAAAGCTGGAGTTGGAAAATAAATCTGTTTTTATGCATGCCTAGACTCCTCCATGTCTATATTTTGTTGACTTATGAGTATTTTAAACATTTACATCACCAAGTTTATAAATTGAAACTGCTAAATCTATTAGCCTGAAATCTGTAAAGTGCAATAAAGTTATTCTAAGCCACACAGTGTGAAATATGTACTTGAAGTGCAAAGTTTGTGTGACGGAACAAGATACTTATGTAATGAGATTCAACCATTTTAAAGTGCTGCGTTACATTTCTATATTTCACTGCACTTTCCTACAAGATTTACATAATCTTTTTTCTTATCATAGATGAAGCTAAACTTTCACATTACTCCTCCAAACTGTGTTAAATTCAATTCTATTTTTATTTCATTCGCCGGGGGCACCTTGTCTGAGGGGACCTGGGCATCCCCCCTTTATCTGGCCCTGAAAAGTTCATAAGCTATAATAACACTGTGACAGCAGCTACCCATGCACGGTACAGGTATATATACTATTAGGTATGGGTTACCTCTTGAATTGGGTGCAACTAATCTTGGGTACGAGCTATCTCGTGAGTTGGGTACGAGTTATCTTAGGCTCAAGTTGGCGTGGGTACGAGTTAACTTTTTTTAGTACGATTTATCTTGGGTATGGATTGTCTTTGGTACAAGATGACCGTAACCCATGCTATTTTACCGTGAGTGCGCTCAGATTGGCTAATCATCCGTTACCGACGAACAACGCAAGAACAATATGTGACCGTAACTCTGGCAGCATTTGGCATTTACGTATTCCGTCGTGAATCGATCGTTGTGAGGCTATAACATACCTAACCAGAAGTTGTTGTTCGATTTTGGTCATTTTTTTTTCCACAGATGTTCTTATTATTATAAAAGAGGCGACATTTACTAGAACCTAATAGGACCTGACCTAACTAACCCCAAAAATCTACATAACCTTACCTAACTTCCTAGCAGGGAGACAGAGCTCCCGTCATATTAAACAGAAAGTACTTAGCCAATCACAGCACACTCACAGTAAAATAGCGTTAGTAGGAACTTAGCCGGTCACGGCAAAATATCCACTATGAAAAAACAAAAAGCAGGAGGAATGTGTTTTGTAAGTTATCAGTTTTGATGTACAAAACAGGCAGAGAAATACAGCCAAATATGAACTTGCTGTGACTGTCATGGTTAGATTGTAGGAAAGGTTCTTTTATCAGAGCAATTTTATTATAGTTTAGAATAAAATAGGAAATAGCTGTATTATTTTAGGTTAGGTTAGGTCTGGTAGGTTAGTTCTCTTCATTTTATGAATTAAAATTAAGATTGTAGCATTGTGAAAGTAAATATGTCAAGACATAGGAAGCAGCTCCACAACATGCATCCCTCTGGTATATTTTCTATATTTCTCGTGGTAAGAATACTTTAATCTCCTATGGAGAAATTTCATCCGGTTACTGCTGAGGCCGGACCAATCTCATCAAGTATTACCCAGCTACTTTACTTGTACAGAAACATTTCGTTAAGAGGTTGAATAACCATCCTTAATATACAGTACATACAAAAATTCCTAACAATAGGGGTGAGGCTCTCTCAGACAATTTGATCAAACATTATTTGTGAGGTAGAGTTATTCTAAACAGCAAATTAAACATGTAATACTAAGAACACTGTAATAATATTATCAATTCCAATCGACTGTCAACCCCTATCACGTTTACACTGGCCACAGTGACCTGACCCAAGTTACAGGAAAATGTTCGGCGTTTTTTGTTGCACGCATTTAAGCAAAGACATAGTAAATAATTGTTAACGCACCAGATCGCCAAAGGCTTACAACAAGACAAGTGGCCAAGAGGATTAAGGAAAGAAGAAACTACTGTACCTCCCTATACATTGTTAGTGTTTATACTTAAAATAATAAAGGTTGTATTTCTAATAAATAATGTTTACTTACTATTTTGAGGATATATTGGTAAGACGAACACCTGATAGTCAACACTGCAGAATATAATATTGGTCGACAAACTCCAGCCACAACCAACTCATATTAAATGGTGTTTACTAAATACAGGATGTTGATTGGCTGATAAGTGAAAGATATCAGACCTGTGATTGGTCGGCGTAAGAGAGCGACTCGGTGCTCTTAAACGACTAGCAACTGAGCCTCCCCGCGGCTATTTAAACCGATGATTATACTAAATCGATGTTTTCTAAGTAAAGTATAAAGTTATCATATGAATTAAAACGATATATATATATATATATATATATATATATATATATATATATATATATATATATATATATAAAGAGAGAGAGAGAGAGAGAGAGAGAGAGGTTTTCAACTTCGTCTATACTCACAGTATACAATACAGCATATTTCATTATAATTGACGTGGCCAGTTTAACTTAGTTATTCAACCTACAGAAAATCAGAATATGAACTGTTGAAGATAACATCAGTATTCAGTAGAGCGATACATGTTGCTCCGGCCCTAACAAGAGTATCCACTTAAGTTGGATATCTTCATTGGGTTATTTTAAATACCAAGAATAAATCTGAGGATTTCAGGAAATGGGTCGCTTCAAATGACAAGCCAAGTCAGCGTAGAAGATCTTTCTATTATTTATCAAAATCGAAATTAAGGACACTTGTGTGTGTATCAGATCTGAGACTTGAAGGTAGAAGATCTGCGGACTCAGAACAGGACAAGGCGGAGGCATTAATTAATTATTTTCCTCCGTGTTTACAAAAGAGAAAGTGAAAAACCTACCTGTTATGGGGAAAACAGTTCTACAACACACTAGTGTGTACTGGAACTGAATTGTCTAAGCTCAGGGTTTATGAGAGCCTTGGCCCTAAGAGCGTGCATCCCAGAGTGTTAAAGAGAGTTGGGTAACAAGCTTACATTCCCTTAAAATTCTGAACGCTCCTGCTTGAAGCAATTGCTAAGGTGCTCTAGATGCGTGGACACAGGTCCTGGAATATGGTAGCAATTTCGACAATAAATGCTTTGACTCTGCCATGGCATTAGATAGCGTACGGTACCTTACGAAAGGATAAATATTAAACATTAAACTGGAAGGGTACGAATTCAGGGGAACGTCTTGGTGTGGACTAAAGACTTTATGACCACAAGCACTGCGTGGTGATTAATGGCACGAACTCTTGGATAAGGTCACAAAAAAGTTTCACAGCCTTCTTACGTGTCCCAGCTGAGGCTCAAACCCTTGACATATCGGTGAGAGTTACGCGCTACCTTCTTACTTCTTTAACTTAAGGTTGTGACGTCTAGTGGGGCGGGCATAAGCTAGCTCCAGATATGAACACCTGACAGAGTAGCGTCATAAGAGGTGTTTTTGTTTTGGGTTGGGCTTTGTATGTGCAGTAATTGCTTTTTATATACTGTATTTCTGTATTTTCCTTGTCAACTTGTAAATACGATTTCGTTACCGTATAAATTCTTAATACTTCCCTGGGGTCCTCGTTTTAATATCTCTGGCAGCACTTGTATTTCTCTAAGATGGTTTGGAGGTCTTTCTCTCTCTAGTAAGTGTTTATAAAAGAAAACAATACACTGCGCCTTGTCGTTGTCATCTTGTCCATTCGAGCGCATCCTTGGTGGAACTGAAACCGCCATTACCACAGAAGGGCATGTATGAACTGTTCTTCGTGAACATAAAGCAGTTGAACCTGAACACAGCCAGTTAGGATCACGTGTACGGTGTATCCCTTCACCTAGTATTCACAGATACGCTAATAAAAGGTGTCCCATAATGTCCATACATCTGGTCTCGTCACTTACGAAGGTTTCTTCCAGTGTCGACTATGATCACTTTTATCTTAGAACAATTAATATCACTCACCACCAATTCGTATTTGTAGACTCTGTTTATAACTTGTTCAGATGTTCATTTATCGCTGTGTTGGTGTTCGGGCAGCAAAACAAACAACCAATTCCACCATTATTTCCATAATCAATGAGCCATGAAACTTAGTCCATCAGGTACCCTTCCTCCTCTTCTTTAGCTTCTTTATAACCTTCTAGACACAACATAAATGCCAACCCCTATCCCGTAAAGTTCCCTAAGTTGACCCTCATGTTTCCTTGCAGTACACTCGACTATGTAGCTCCGTCCCTTCCACATCTTTCCACCAACCTATAACCTACAGGTCTTTAACCATTGGTCAAATACCCGCCTTTTAATCGTGTAAGTTACTGTACAAATGGTTTAATTTTTCCTTACCCATGGTGTACTACTGTAGGTAAGCCTGACTGGAATATACTGTAGATCACTTTCTCAGTATATAGCGTTAACCTTTAGACGTCACGCTATCTGTACACCTCCCCACTCCAGCAGTTACCGGCATTAGAGGTTTTCACTACGCGTAAATTTCCAGCTTACTGACTTAAAAAAAAACATAATAATTACCATGAAGTATTTATTGTGAACAGTTGCACAATAATAATGTTAGACAGTGTTCGTCATCGGTGAACGAACCTGTGAAACTAATGAACAAAATTCTTAAGTAAGTTGTCGGTTAATTTCCTTAAAAATTATGTCGGTAGAATATTTACATTTATGGCTCTTATTTACCTTTAATATACATCGTTAAACTTGAAGACTTTCACATTAACTGTACACAAGCTATTAATTTATTAACTTCATTTGAACGTTATTACACTACTGTAGTTACACGTGTCTTAGAGACATTATGGGCAAACACCTCATGACACACTCAACGTCACAGCAAAAATGTCTCCAAAATTTTGCGTGTAAGTGACAGTACTGAAAGTCCACATAGTTCTTTGACCCCTTATACGCCCCAGGGAGTGAAGAGTGAAGAACGAACGTACGTACAACTTTGCACTTTAAGACCGTGGACACTGGTGAAAGTCACTGATTAAAGTATGGTAATGTATACTGCGATCTCTGATTATGAGGTGTGTATCGTACCAGACGAAGGAGGACTCACACCTTATTTTCTACATTAACGTAAACCTTAGAAAAATTGCAAAGTTTTTAAGGTACCTTGGTGTGGAAAAATTGAGAGTGGCTTCACATAAAGATGAAAGAGCGCCATGTGTCGGTGTTATAGTGGTGGAATGTCATCTTGTTAGCTTAATGTTTTATGGATGTGTCAAGACGTGAGATGAGAGGCTAAGATCAAGTGATTATGGGAGGCGGCTGGTCATTGGTGGTGGCACAACAGGGAAGCTAACAGTTGTCGAATTGTTTTTTGTAATTGTGGTGTAGTGTGGGTGTTGAGAGCTGGGGGAGGTCTATATAGCGAGTCTGAGTATATTACAGGAATGGTTAACAGAAGTGAAAGATAATATAATGTAAACTCGACCCTCTGTACCCCCCTCTCACCCCACTCCGGCTTCATGTTCTTTACTATTTTCATAATCGTTCACTGAAATAGATAATGTTCCCAATATACCGAAAACTGGGCTAAACCTGAACAAAATATAAAAAAGATAGGAAAAATAACTTATATTTAGGTTACATATATACAGCATATAACTAGCCAGCGTAAGTCGATTAGGATTCGGATTTCCTCAGGTTCACTCTTGTAAGTTTCCTCGTAAAGAGATGGACGAGCACATTTAACTGACTCACTTTAGCATATACATAAATATAATATAAAAAAATACATAAAAATTACAATGAGACTTTAAGCCTTTAGTTCAACAAGAAAAATTCCACTAATTGTGTTTGTTTTGAAATTGTTAACTGGGCAAAGATAATGTCGCAGTGTGTGGGGGACAATTCACTATTGCCGAGGTGGGTCAGGGAGGTTTGTCGTATGTGCGTACCGTACCATACGATATTACATGAATGACTATATGATAATTTAGGATTTTGTAATAATTTGTTCTTGAAGCGTTATATTTTATTTATTTTTGTAATCTCTGGCATCAGATGAGGGTGTTTACTGTCACTTGGTCTTGATGTTCGTATGATTATAGAACTTAATTGTCTTTTTATATTGTCAGTCAACTTTTATTATTTCTTCCTCAGTGTGTAACGTTAACCTTGATACAGGCTTGTGTTTTAGGGGTATGTTAGTATATTCTGAAGGAGACTTGATCCCAGGGTAGCAAAGTGGTGGTGGGCCAACAGTTGCTTGAATCGGCTGTAGTGGATCCTCGACTGGAAAGCTTGGGAACCACTGCTCGAATACAAGTGAATCCGGCCTTTCCTGAACCCGGCCTGTATAGATATACGCCGGGTTCGGATACGGTACATAATAGAGAGATATAATGTATAGGTCAGTAGTTTTGTAGTTTATTATAATGACCTGGCTTGTGTCTGACCTCTGATTGCCTTCCATGTTACCTGTCCTGGAAACTGACCAGAAAATTGTGTGGCCGGGTGCTCCAGGAGGCCGGGGATCTCCTCAGGCCCGGGAGGCCGGTTTTTCCCGAGGGCAGAGTTCAATTGATACCCTACTGCACTAGGTCAAGGCTGCCACGTCTAACCCCTCGACAGAACCCTTACACCCAGAACCTTGAACCTCGTGTAGTAAGAAATAACGGGTCGGAGTCATATCTCAAAGTTGATTTTTTTCTGGCACTTTAGCTAAAAATATCACCCATACACATTAATGTACCCAAATTCTCTTTTAAGTTAAAAAACATTCAAATGATCATGAATATTAATGTTGACCCCTAACTCGCGATATGCTATATTATATTGTACTTAAGTTTATGTGAGTCAATTAAATTTAAGAACTGGGGTCAGCTCGACCTACAGGCCAGTATATAATATATGTTTGTATATTAATTTTGTTATAATAAATAATTATATTTCTTTAATCAAATAGAACCGTTTTCAAATTTTACAGGCAAGAATATTCGTCAATTATCATAAGGATAAGCCTCTGAAATATCACATTAAACAACAATACAGCGGGAATAACTATTTTTCGCGATGTTAATATTAGACCAAAGTTAAAGACGAACAAAATCGACACATCAACAGGTTAAGACACATTTCCTCGAGTAATAACAAAAGTCCACTAGATGGCACCTGCCTGTACTTACCATGAGTCGCCGGCAGCTGTGACTCGCCTACACAGCACCAGACACTAACACAAGGCACGTACTGAAGTGACATAATAACACGAACTGACTGCCAATGCTTCGTGAGTTAACCAGATTTGACTTAATTTAACCAAACCTAACCTAACCATAACCAAACCTACCATACAGTACTCTCCCTCACCATCATACAATACTTCTCCTCACCACCATACAATATTCCCCCTCACCATACAATACTCCCCCCATACGTTAGCTCAGCACTTGGTATCACTACAGGATTAAATGGTCAACTGTACAAACATCTTCAATTTCCTTTTTATAAGTCTTCGAACAATGACAAATTTCTTTTCCTATTTCGACTCCCCAGACAAGGTGCATCTCCCCCAGTGAGGGTATATAAGGGCCTCTCCTGACACCCACAAACTAATATTCTTCTCTCCTCCACGGTGCAGGACAGCCTCTGCATTGAGTATAAGGAAGATTGCTGCCTCATTCTGTCTACTGGTGCTGTCATGTGTAGCTCCCCCTGAAGCTTTCTAACCAAGGAGGAAAAAATAATGATAATAAATATGTATATAGATGAAATAATAGATAATAAGAAAGAATAAATGAGAGGAGAAAATAAATAAATAAATAAATAAATAACAAGAAGCTTCCAGGGATAACTTTAGAATGAAGATACGGAACATTATGTGGTGTTTGGAAATATGAACACATTATGCCAGTAACCACCTTGAAGTATAACACACACACACACACACACACACACACACACACACACACACATTTATTCCTTACTCCAATCAATTACACACACACACACACACACACACACACACACACACACACACACACACCCCCTTCCTTACTCCTCAATTATTTTCCCTCGTCATGGTGGAAATAAACCCAACGTGTGATTGATTGATTTATTCTTAAACAGGTTAGACACATGAACCATCTCTACTCTCACCCGTCCTAGTGATCATTATTAGACAAAATACAATCCCAACCTGTTCGTCTTATCAGTAACCAATCCCTCACTTCGTCTTTGCCTCCCACTCTCATGTTAGACAATCCATCTCTTCACTTTTTTCTTTGTATTTTTTCTGGTCAGTGCAACATCCATCACCCTCCTCCTCTCGACCCCTCCACACTCACACAACACACGTCTGTCATTATCACCTCATCCCTATCCAAGATTATTTTATTGTACTTCATCATCATCCACTTCATTTATTTCTCGTAATTATTATATGAAATTACGGACTTCCTCACGTATTATCATCTAGCCACCTGCAAGATATTATGTCTTTACGTGTCGGGTAGTCCCTCACTCCTTATTATACAATTAAATCAAGGACCTGTTTTATATATGGTGAATGAGACAAGTTAACATAGATGATAAAGTTACATAATGGGGGAATGGGTGACTTGATTGGCAAATAATATACAAGTAATATAAGTGATATAAGAGGGGGAAGGTCATATTATAAGGTATTTCAACATAGTAACATTGCAAAAGTAAGAATAGCAGAGATTGAACACACTAGTTAACTACGAGTTGTTGATCAAATTTACAACGGTTGGGATTGCGTTACCTACAAGCCCGACAATGTTAAGTAAGAACCTGTCGTAACACAATTTCACACACACACATAATCAAGCTATCGTGTCTAAGAAAAGTTATCGAGAGGAAACCAAATCTATCACAAACAGAAAGAGCGAGGAACACTACAGCATCACTAAGAGGTCATCTAAAATCTAAAAACGGATGAGGGGTGGGGGGGTGGTAAGGAGGAAGTAAGGGAGGGGGAGGTGACGTAGGGGAGGGGAGGTGAGGGAAGGGGAGGGGGTGGGAAGGGGTTTTTAAGCTGTGGTCCATGGGTCAAAAATAAACTCGGTACAGAAGACAAGTACACACACATACCGACTCATATAACCTGTTGTGGTGAAGAAGATTTTACTTTTGTCCTATACGTAACCTTTGACCTTTGAGAGATCTTAGGGAAAAAATATTTAATGTATACTGCTCGTTAATGCTTACTGAGAGTCAAGTTGTTACCTTGAACTTGGGTGACTAGGCTAATCTAACTTAACCTAACTTAACCTATAACCTAACCTAACCTAAACCGTCAATTCATCTCACTCAGAGGGAAGTAAGACGCAAAGGGGACTTTATCTCCAAGTGTGAGGGAAATATCTCTTAACGGGTGAGAGAGAGAGAGAGAGAGAGAGAGAGAGAGAGATTTCCTGCCAAGTCATAAATCACAGAAAACAAACCGTGATAAATTCTCGACGGACAATAAACAGAGAGACAAAAACAGTAAGAATATTAAAATAATTTGAACATATTTTTTTATATTCATTACAAAAACATATATACAGCAGATACGTATGAGAGTTTATACCGGGAAACAGGTGAATGAGAGAGGGCCGCTATAGATCTCAGAGGGATAGAAATCTTCCGGTAAAAACTGAAGGAATCAATACTTATTTTTACTTCCGTATTCATTAAGTATTTTCACTGTATTACGCACTGTCAGTATTCCTCCCATCGTACTACTGTGACACTGGATTAAACACACACACACACACACACACAGAGGGAGGCCATGGCGGGAGGGTTAGGACAGACAAGAGGATCAGTTGTGGTCAAACAGGCAGCCCGCGCGGACACCCACCAAGCCACAGGTACCCTGAGAGAGAGAGAGAGAGAGGAGGAGGAGGGGGAATAAAAGAGACGAGCAGAGCAGTATCGCTGTAGTAGTTAACCCTCGCTGCTGCACATCACCACCACATCTTGGTGTCAGTATCTCGTGATTTCTAAAAACAAGTTGATGTGTAATAACAGAAACGCATTTGTGTAATGGTGGTATAGTATACAGTGGTGGTGAGAGTGGAGGAGTCAAGTGGTAAATGAAACTTAAAGTGTCAGTTTCTCACAACGTTTTGGAAAATTAGTTCGTAGAGGAAATTTCGTCGGCGACACCGTGAGGAGATATATGTTTGTGAGTGTGTGAGCGAGCTGCTCTCGGTTAGCGCGCCGCCCTGTGACTTATGTGATCTTGCCACCCCACCCACATCCTCATCCACGCCGCCGCCCACACATAAAACTTACTACTTTTTCGTTGGGGGTCATCGCTGGTCCAGTGGTCGGGTGGGGCTGGGCAGCCGGTGTGGCCCACGGGCCGCACTGGCGTCATGGGCGGCAAGTGTGGGCCACAGTGGTGGCGGGCCGCACAGGTGAAGCAGAAGCAACAAGTAGGTGGCCTGACCGGGCCACCTTCTCACTGACCACCCTCATGACCCAACAAAATAATTACGGTGCGGCCCACCTGGCCACACTTATGCTGCTGGCCACGGTGGGCGTCGTCGGGGCTGTGGCCATGCCAGCACCACGCCTTCCTGAGGCCACTAACTCCACCCCACACTACTCGTCACCTGACGACGACTACTATTACTACGACTATGACTACGAGGGAGAGGTCGTCGCTCCCCACCTTAACCTCAGCGAGTTTCGTCTACCGGAGGGGGTGGAGGGGACGGGCGCCCCCCACGTCCCACGCTACATGCTCGAGCTCTACGCCGACCAGACCTCCCACCACGCACCCCCACTCCCCGGCGCCGACCTCGTCAGGAGCTTCATCGCCATCACTACAGGTAGGTCCTCTACCGTACACCCAGGTGATACTTGGCGTGTTGTTGCAGGTGGTGATGTAGTGAGCGATGACTAAACAGAAAACGTTCCACCATCGACTCCAAGAACAATTTGGAGTTTTTTTTATGAACACTGATCGGTAACTCACATCACGATCCAATGTGCATTTACGCATGTACAGTATATATGTGTCATAATGTTGTACATTAATATATGCTACAGTGGCTGCTGTATTACTCGTATAAGAAATATTATTAGTAGTAGATCTGTGGCTTAATTAAATTAGTTGTTTAGATACTTGTGCATTATTATATTTAGGGAATAAAATAGTGGAATAAGTATGGCTGTCAAGGGAGGTTGAAGGCCATGATATTGAAGAAAAAAAGTAGTAGTAGTAGTGGTAGTAGAAAGAAGTAGTAGTAGTAGTGGTAGTAGAAAAAAGTAGTAGTAGTAGTAGTAGTAGCCTTTAATTATATCCATATTGTAGAGCTTCAACTATTTATTGAGAACATAGTAATCACACAACACTGAAAAGCGCTATATGCGTTCAGTAAAATTCCTCCTCTGACACCGACGTGCTGAAGGTGTATCATAATTCCTATGCCAGCCCTCAAGTGCCCCAAGAGGGAACCGTCAAAACCACACTCGTATCATCCACTCCTCGGTGTCAGCTCCACCTGTATTCTGGACGTGACGTGGGAGACTATGGAATCACCCACGTAAACTATCTTGAGTAGCTGAACAACACTGAGACTCAACAACATTAGTCCCCCCCGAAAAGAACTCAGATGACTTAACGAGGGGGCTGGAGACCTTATGAGTCTAGTTAAAATTAAAGTGAATAAAATCATCTGTTATTAGCCCAATAAAATATTAAAAGTGGCGTCTTCATTTCACATCAACTTTCAGTTTGTATCCTGTTGTGATGCGTATATCTGTCTGTCTGTCTGTCTGTTAAATCTCTTCTCAAAACTAATATAAGACTAATAGAGAATTCTGAGGTGAGGAAGACGAACCTCCAAGCGTAATTTAAAGAGAGAGTTGATCATTAAGTATGTATGCGGGTATAACTACTCTCTCTCTCTCGCTCTCTCTCTTGTTACTCTCTACCTTCCCCCGTTACGGTCCCTGTTACTGGTCCGCCTCACACAACATTGGAGGAGGAGTAACGGTAAGACAACAGAGGGAAGTAGAAGTGGTTTAGTCAGGTCTGTTGTGGATATTATTGGTGAGGGAGTTGTGGCTGTGTAGGTCTTTATTGGGGAGTGAAAGGGAGTGAAAGGTAGGTAGAGAGAGGGAGTGAGTGAGTGAAAGAGAGTGAGTGAGTAAAAAGTGGGTTGGGAGAGGGACTATGGACGAGGGAGAGTGAAAGGTAGGTAGGGAGCTAAAAGGAGAGAGTGAGAGAGAGGGAATTAGAGTGAGTGAGTGAAAGAGTGAGAAAGAGGGAGTGAGTAGTGAGAGGGAGTGAGTAGTGAGAGGGAGTGAGTAAGAGAGAGGGAGTTAAAGAGAGGGACTGAGAGAGGGAGGAGGGGGACTGAGGAAAGTCGAACAACACAACACAATACTTTCAAGGAAGGAAAAAATGGACATAAATGTTATCCTAATGTGATTATCTGCTCAGTGTAATACAACCCAAATTTATACTTGAATTTGTTTTATTTACTCAACACAGACGAACACTTGGGATCTAGGTGTCGTTCCATGGTTCAGACACTTACAATGACGGTAGTATTTTTTTTCTCAGTCGTGTTATGTCACATCAGTTGATCTTGCCTCTCACGCCTTGTCTCTTACACCTATTAATGCTCCTTACCGCAGGCTATTGAGTCAATGAGTCACTTTTCCTGAACGTTAAAATAATGTTATGTGATTTTATTCCTATTACCCAATCAGTTAAGTAAGCCTAGTATGATGATGTAAAATGGGGAATTAAATGAGTAAATCTTATCTTTGAGTACACCCTATATAAACTGTATTGAAATTAACTATTTAAGATTGATTAAAGATGATAATAATAATAATAATGTGACGAATCATATAATTATTTTGATGGTGTGGCGGTGAGGTCAGTTTAACGAAGAGGGTTGGGGGTAGAATGTTTACAGAATTTCGACTTTACTTTGCCAGTCATCTTTGTGTCTGATGGAGCGTATGGTGTTAATGGATGGTTAGGTTAGGTCAGTGTTGGGTTAGGTTAGGTTAGTGTTGGGTTAGGGGTAGGTTAAGCCTGTGTTGGGTTAGGTCAGTGTTGGGTTAGGGGTAGGTTTGATCAGGGGTAAAATAGTATAGGTTACGTTAGCTTATATTAGGTTTGGTTCCTCATCTGGGCGTCAGTGTGTCCTCGGCCGTGAGAAGAGTCAGAGTGGTGAGGGAGGAGCCGTGTTTACCGTGTAACTGAAGCTCACTACCAGCCCTTACAGGTGACGGAGGTTTACGGTCAAATAGGCCCTAGTCCCCGTAGGCCCCCAACCCATACACAGCTTAATGTAAACACTGAGACAAGGGTAAACACTCGCTCCAAAGAGTATCTTTACGATTTTTGTGTGATACAATTTGACACAACGGACGCAGGATTTTGATAACCGTACCGAGACAACAGGAGTCCCAGTGTTCATTTTGATATTTATTGGACTCCTCCGTAAAGATACATTTTGGAGCGAGTACATTTGGACAAGGCCCCCCCTGCCATGTTGGTTTACTCAGGTTAGGGTCTTTTAAGATTGGGGCCTGTTTAACTGATGGAAGCGCAATTGGGTAGGGTAAGAGTCCAATATGCCCAGCACCAAGCCTAGTGGGGCCCCCCTCCAGCTACCCCGCCCTGGTTGAGTATCTACCAAAATATGTAGGATATTTGAGGAATCATTAGTCGGTGGTGCTGACCTCGCATAGTGAAGCTGGATTAAGAAATGAACTTCAGATTTTCGTTGCATAATTTTAAGATTAAGAACGAGAACGAATTTTTAAGAGTCAGAATTTTCACCCTAGACTTTTTTGTATGAGTGGTGTTACGATAGACGAATTGACAGAAAGTTCTTCATTAACTTCAATTTAAGGGAACAAGAGTGCAGTACTGAGGTATATAATACACCTGTTGCATGACTTGAGCTCTGGCCTTCAGCTGTAATCTTAAGTGCTGACAGAGGGCATCCTGGTCTCCACCGTCCCATCCAGATGACAACACAATACTGTACGTCGTTCCTTCCAACAGGTTTATAAAAAAAAAGTGACAAATAATATGAAATCATGGATCATTCACATCAGAAATTCATCCTCTCTCAGGAAATGAAAGTCATACGGTCAATATCTATCATCTTTGTGACCTTCCCTGCCACAAACACACCAAAATGTTACTCTTTCTAAACAACTACCTCAATAGTGTGCAAAAACCAGGTTATGGTCCATATTCTACCCAATAAAACAATAGTGAGAGGCAACATTTGTATGAACGTTAAAAATGTGCAGGGAGCCGCGGTGACTGGCGACAAAAGGCGGGCGGGGGACGTGACCACAGTATCAAATGCAAAAATATTGGGAAATATATTTTAGAGGGCGAACCAACTGTCTGTTACCGTCGTCACCCACTCTCCCGGCTGTCCTGGACCTGCACACACACACACACACAAACACACACCATCAATTTGTACGTACAGTGTATGTGTGATGCTCTACATTCACACGGCAACAAACCGAACTCAATGTGGCAACAAAAAAATACAAGAAATCAAACGATAAATCACCACCACCTTTTCTTACAGCTGTTGTTAGGCTACGCCCTCAGCCCTCATTACCTCATAATATTAAAACACACCACTAACACCCTCGTCATCAACGGTATATATCCTGTCACGGTGACTATGAGAGATGAGGTTTATACTACTGGAGGTTAATTAAATATCCAGGTCACGTTTCACAGTTTCATATCCCGTTCAAACAATTCCTCCCATGTTAATATTTAAGGTATTATATTAAAAGAATATATAGTCAGTTAAGTAATACCATCGGGAACGTTTTATAAGTATGCATGTTACGTCGTGTTAATTAAAGGTGAGGAGGATGGATCACTCAGGTACCCCATCGACGATAACAACAGCAGCTTCTTCACTTTAGACCAGATTCTGAAAAGTTCGCGTGTTGTTGATCTTACTTGGGTCTATGGGAACGCCTACACTGACTCATTCTAGGTTTAAAGGTCTGAATAAAAGGGACATTCATTATAACACACTGAGACGAACGTTGGGGACATTCATTATAACACACTGAGACGAACGCTGGGGACATTCATTATAACATCAAAATAACACTGAGAAGAACGCAAAACTAAATCTTATATCTTAGTGAGAAGAAGAAAAAAAAATCATAGCATTAATATGTGAAAATCTCTCAACCAAGAGAAACAGCTTCGACCTCCCCATATGGAAGCTCTCCTACCCTCTCTGTTGCTGTTCGTGATGGTGAATCTATAGTACAAGTATCCACCAGTTTTTCTACCTCTCGATCACCATTAACCGAGACTGATATGAGCCACACATCCCTAACAACACACTTGGTGCAGTACTGCCCACCTTCTGACACATCTAACTTGGTATATACAGATAGATATTTATATGCATGTACCGAGAGAGAGAATTGTAGATTGTCCGTTCATAAATGTATATATAAACATATTCATAGAGTTGAATGTCTTTATCTGTCTTACTTATTTATACATTTATCTGTTGATCCTTTTAGAAGTTATTGGTTGTGTATGTGTGTGTGTGTTCAATTCATCCATGTCAATATCTCTCTCTCTCTCTCTCTCTCTCTCTCTCTCTCTCTCTCTCTCTCTCTCTCTCTCTCTCTGGACACCCGAGCTCACAAGTACTACAACTTAGGCGCCGCTCAACTCGTCCCACACAACCATTCTTAATCTCGTTATGAAGGTTTACTCTTGTCTACACTGTATAAGCAGTTTAACGCGGCGAAAGGAGTTATACCATTAACTTGGACTGATTATGTGGTACAC